CTTGGGACCTGTCTTCTAAAGGGCCACCTAGTAGTTCCATTCCATTGACCTTTGAGTTTCAATACATAAATTTTGGGTGATCCATAAATGACCGACCTCTCCTGTAGAGGGGTCTGGGGGTATACATTTGTACCTGGGTTCAGACACTACATTTTATCAGTTATCATATTCATTACACTTATAAGGCCTGTTGTTAAGCCATTACCATCATTATTTATTTATTATCATTAGCAGAAAGCAGGAAATGGGAAGTAGGAGGTAAACAATTGAAAGACTCTATGAGAACAAGTGTGTGCGGGTGTCTTTGGGTGAAGTAGTTTGTGCCTGTGGATGAGAAGAGATGCACATTGCTAATACTTTGTTCTTTCTGTGCTCGATTTTCTAAAGCACTTTCTTCTGCTGCTTTTTAAGCACTAGCCATGCTGAACTGTTCTGTAGCATGGCTGGTCTCAGTCAGAGTCTTAGACCTTGTATTGTAGAAATTGGTCCTCTAGATAATACAGTGCCATTTTCATGAGAGCAGTAGTTTCTGCTGTGAGTCACCATCACTGCATAGAAGGAGGAGTTGGTGAGGGTCATTGGCCTTTCAGCTGAGATTCTAGCCACTTCTAGATATTTGAATGTACTTCTGTCCTAATGGCATAAAGAAATAGGGAGGATTGGGGTAGGAGTTCCTGGAGGTTATAGGAGGAGGTTGAGAGTGGTTCCTTCCGTCTCTGTTGCTATGGAGAAGCCATCATCCATGCTAGGCTGAGACTTTCTATATAGTGTAGCTGCTTTGGGGTCACCAATACTCCCATCAGCAGCCTTCGCCCATGCTCTGTAAGAAGCCCAATAAACTCATTGGTCCCAAAGGGTGAACTCTGTCAGGTTTATACTTTGGTTGGGACCTTATAAGAAAGGGAATAGTTGTTGTTTGCCTCTTTCCTGACACCTGCAACAGTCTCTCTGGTGCTGCACTCTTATTCAGACTGCTGTCCCTGGTAATATTCAGAAGTTGAGAACTGACAGGAAGAATAATTTCATATGAGAGTCACCATCAAGGCTTTGGGATATTGTCTCCTTTGGTTCTTATCATAGTAATTTTTGGTGCCAGTGAGTGGTGTTGCCACAGTGATGTATGATTTTAGTTATTTTGGATTTGGGGTTTTAAGAGAGAATTCCCCTTTTTCCACCTTCTAAAGTAGGCTCTCCCTCTGGGATTGCTGACACACTCTGACTCATGGCTTTCATACTTTCTCCCCCACTGCTTGTGTGGAGAAGGTGACAGGGGGAATGCTAGGGGCCCACTTGTAGAGCAGGGTCAGTAGTAGGGCTGGGCAGAAGAGTCCCACTTCTATTTGGGCTTTTTGTTTATTTTTTGCTTCAGATATCGTTCACGTGCATGAGATTTTTGAAAAGATACACCCTGTCTCTAGTAGTCTGTCCCCTTTTGTTCAGCCTTTTAATGCGCCTGTGTTTAGAGAAATGCTAATCTTAAGATAGACCAGAACAGTTCTAGTCTCTCACCTTCCTTCAGCTTCAGCTCCAGCCCTTAGCTTCCAGGAAGTCACTAAGATATAAAGGGCCCCTGAGCTCTTATCAGCTTGAAGATCCTTAGTTCTGGCAAGGAGAAGGGAAGGCAGGCCTTTCCCAAGACTCTTTAGAAGCTTCCGAGATGCCTCCCCATCTCTCAAATTCTGTTCATCCCCTGTAAGAATCCCCATGCTTCCCTTGTCCATCTTCTGTTGTCACCGCCTCTCCCCCTCCTGGGGGTCAGGACACTGGTGGTTTAGCACCTCTCTTTGACCTTTGTTCTCCTGTCAGAAGGGGTCCCATTCTCTATGGAGTGGGGACAGGGAGCTGTCTCATCAGCTGTTGCTTCTTTCTTCCTCCAGCTCCTTAAGCCCCTCCCACATTCTTAGTCCTCCTTGATTTAGGTGTAGTTTTTTTCTCCTCCTAATGAACTCAGTCTTCAAATAGAACTAGGAGCAAATTAGGAACTCTGAGAATTTAGGAATCCTTGGTGAATTATATTAAATTAATGAGACCACGAAGGGAAATCAAGTTCAGCTGTACAAATTGCCTTGCGTTCTGGGCCTTGATGATTTAAATTGTAAATTATAATTAAATGCCTCTAAATAGAATGAGAAGTAGCTGCTTAAGTCCTTTGACCTAAAAGTTCCTCTGACCTCTGAACTAGTATAGAATTAGTGTGTAAATACTCCTTTATGAGGACTCTACTCTTCAGAGAACTTACAGTGTGGTGACACACACCACTCTCCTAGAGACAGGTGGACAGAGGGAGTGGACAGGAGGACACAGGGAAGAGAGGGTGGATTTTCATCCGCCGTGGAGAAGATGGCAGGACTTAGGTAGGGCTGTTTGCCAGGTGGCACATCTCTGCAGTCCCAAGGGAGGGCTCCTTGACACCGTCACTGTTACGCAGAGAGAAAGGCAGCAATGCAGGGCATGGAATGAGGAGGTTACATTGAGGCAGTAGTCAAGCGACAACAGCTCATTCCATGTATGAAGTCACAGCCAGTATTTAATGCAGCCTTTTGAACATGTGAAGACGGCAGTTACAGTTCCCCGTAACCTCTCCTGCCTGGTGGCCATCTTGATACAGCCTTCCCAGGCTCTCTGTCCTGTCTCTTTCGGTTGTAACTAGAGAGCAGGTGGTGTAAAACTGACAGCATTTTCTCTGCTGTCCCTGTTACCATTGTTGAAAGAATTAAATATATTTCTTATTGAGGCACAAAACCTAATCACATACTGCTCAGTGGGTCATTCATAGACCTACACGGAACCTGCATCCCAGCCAAGAAACAGAACATCCTCAGGAGTCCCTCAAACCTTTGTAGTTGACACCCACCCCTGCACGGCGTCCTCCTTTTGACTTCACAACACAGACTCCATGGCCTCTGCTTGCACTTCACACCAGTAGACTGCCTGTGTTGGGCTCTGTATGCTTGGCTTTCCCCGTGATTCATCTGTTCTGCTCTAGACATTTACAGATGAAGAACATTTCTATTGTCTCTAGGATCCTACTGTTAATGACGTCATCATTCTAAGCATTCTCCTTGGGATATGTGTTTGTGTGTGTGTGCTTGTGTGTGTGTGTGTGTGCATACATAGACATTCATACGTACATTTCTGTTAGCAGTTGCACCCTGAATTGTATCCCAGGTTGTGGATGGATCACCAGTTAGTCCCCTTGGGTAGGGACTTCCAGCTGTTAAGAGTAGTTATACTGTCCCTACTTTACCGTGACACTGGTTCCAATTGTCCTACGTCCTTGCCAGCTCTTGGCTTTGCCTATCTATCACTGAGCTATGTAAATGATTTGTTCTAGGCCTCATGGCTTCAGTTTATATTATGTGTGACTTCTGGATTTATTAGAATAATTTTAGTACCTCAAGATGTTCCAGAACATACTGTTTCTGGGTAATTAGATTACTTCTGGTCTTCATTGTTTACAGTAGCAGCTTTGTGAATGAGTCTTTTCCATGTTTGAGATGCTTAGCAAGAATTTTTTTTGTATATAAAATTTATTAAATTCTGAAATTTTAGTATCACTCTAAAATGTTATCCACAGTATAGAAGGGTCCCAGGCCTGCCAGCAGTATATATTTTGGAAGAACAGATGGAGAATTAATTTAGATGGAATAGGTGGATTTAGTGTTACTTGGCTTTTAGTGTTACTTTCAAAATATTTACCATCCATACCATCCATACTTCTCTTTTATGAATTTCTCCCCTTGATGACTGTCTCACCAGTGAGCTTTATTCATTCCTACCAGAATTATTGTTGAGTTTCAGCAGTTGTCCTGTTGAGTTTCAGCAGTTGTCCTGGTTTCATTTCTGTTGCTATGACACATACATTGACAAAAGCAGCTTAGAGAAGAAAGGCTTTATTTGGTTTATAGGTCAAATGTCATCGCATTATAGGGTGTGGTGTGGACAGTCAAAGCAGGAGCTCAACAATGTGTTGGCTACGTCACATCAACAGGCGAGAGCAGAGAAAAACAGATACACCCATGGCCAGTGATTGCTTTCTCAGCTAGCTTTCTTCAGTCTCCTGTGTCTCAGGGCCCACCCAGTGGCAGGTGGGGGAGATGGCACTGCCCACAGTGGGCTGGGTCAGTTAGCCCTCGGGACAGTCTCCCACAGAGTTGTTCACAGGCCAGCCTGATCTAGATAATTCCTCAACTGAGACTCTCTCCCCAGATGATTCTAGGTTGTGACAAGTTAAGACCAGCTGTCGAGATAGTCTCGGTGCTTTCTAAGTTTCAGTATTTGCCTTGCAAATGTTTTGATTTGTGTGTCATTTGATGACAGCAGATCAGTGAGTAACTTCTCCCTTTTAACAATTTATAGAGTGGCTCTCCAGCCAGTCCATAGCCCTGTTGGCTGAGGTTCATAGGCCAGAGATCTTTGGGTACCCCATTGGGAAAGTTAGGAGTCCAGCCTGCAAAAGAACATGGAAATCAGTCCTAGGTTCGAATGCACTGCCCTATTGTCCTCTGCTTCTAACTCTTAGGAGACTGTGCGCTGGGCCCTGAGGCCTTCCATAACAGCTCATGGCAGGCCCTGGCCTGAGTGTTCCATTCTGCAGGAAGGTACCTGCTCACCGTGCATTGGGGCAGTGTTGGAGCCCAGTGGACCGCACTGAGCCCTCTCCTACTAATCATTTGACTCTCACTGTAGCTCTCTGAGACACCAGAGAGCAGAACCTCAGAGCTACACTGCAGCTCCTCCTGGGGTCTGTGCTTTGTGAGTGGGCAACCATGACCCAACTTTCTTCATTTCTCTAAACCACACTTCCCCTCTTGGATCCTCAGGGCACAGCCACATGCTCCTGATGGAGAATCCTTAGAAGGAAATGTGCATTTTCTTTCTCATTCTTTTGAGTGAAAAGTTAGATAGGAATAACTGTTGCCTTCCTACATTTCTGGGTGTCATGATCTCAGGGACTTAATCTTTGGTGTGCTCAGCAATTTATTCTTTTCTATTTCTAGATGATGGATTTGGATGCCCTTCTATGAAGCAATGCCACATGGTCCAAAAGCAAACATGTCTGGTAAGTCACTTGTTGAATTGACTGGAGCAGTAGCCCAGGTCTTTGGGTGTGTAGACATGGACAGGAGATTGTGTTGGACATATGGACACCTTTGAGAGTGTGCTCTTCACAAGGCTAATGGCTCTGTTAGTTATCCTAACTTGTGAAGGCTGGTTCCTTGTAGAACCAGCAGGGATTAGAGTACATGGGGTTGGACAAACCTGGAATTCCCTTTCTTGCTGTTTAACCTGCTTCTGAGAGCATAGTGGGAGCTCTGTGCTGGGCCAGGAGGCCTCATTCTGACTCCTCTGCAGTGGCAGTGTCACAGCCTCTTCCGTCCCCAGCACCTTCCCCTTTGGTTAAAGGTAGATCGACACTTGACACTGTGGAAAAGTCTTGAGACCAAGGCACACCAGAACTTGGTAGCTAAAGGAAGGGAAAGTCAGGCTAGAGCTTCAGGTTTTGTCTTTCTTCTCCATTGTTCTGTCTCAAAGGCAGGCAGAGCCTCTAGGCAGCAGAGATCTTCATGTAGTCTTTGTGCTATGGAAGTCGATAGACAGTTGTGAAGACTCTGTGGGACTTACAATAGAGAAGTGCTGGAGAGTAGAAAGAATCATACAAGCCTTATTGTCTGGTTACAGTCAGGCTGTCACATAATATGGTCCATGTTGGTCCAAGAGGATCCTGTAGGTCCACCGTGAGAGGAGTGGGGAGGAGGAAGAGAGTAGAGGTGAGAGACATTCTAGCCCAGTTCCATACCTGTCTCAAGACACTGCTTTCAGCATCTTACCAGGGTTAGGTCTTGTTCGCTAGCCGTAGGAACACAGTTTCTCCATCACCACGCTCCTGACTTTTGACTGTGCTTACTTCCATGTCTCAGGGCTTCTGCCATCTTAGGAATCCAGGTCCTGGAGACAGCTCTCCCTTGGGGAATCAGCTGAGGTGTGATCCAGGAACAAGAAGCATATCCTCACCAATGACATCATGACAGCAAGAGAGCACAGCCCTCGCCATGGTGCCAGGGCCCGTGCGATGCAGCGGGCTTCCACCATTGACGTGGCAGCTGACATGGTGGGCCTCTCTCTGGCAGGTGAGCCGATACTAGACATCTGGTTATGAACTTGAAGGTCAGGATCCATGCTGTAACACTGTAGGAAGAGCCAGGGGGCAGCTAAGCCATCAGGAGAGGGTGTCTTGGCGTGGTATCATCCTAGTTGGAGCAGGACTCAGAAGGGACAGCTAGAGCCCTGGAAACTGGTCCTGTGGATTGCTCAGCATTTCTTTCCTAGCTTTGGTGGGCATCCTGGGCTTGCCTTCCAGTAGGCAGAATGGAAAAGGGATCTGAGATTTCTTCAGAATCTCTAAAGTAAACGGTTTCAAAGTATATAAATCATCTACTATAATATTTTGGAGTGGGCTAGAGGAATTAGTATTTCTTGTTTCTATTTTTGTGTAAAACAAATGCAAGCTAAATTCTGGGGAAGGTTTATTTTGGGTGACTTTACTGTCATTTCTCTTCTACCAGGAAATATTCAAGATCCAGACGAGCCCATTTTAGAATTCAGCTTAGGTAGGTGCCTCTCTCTCTTGGTTGTTGTTACTGTTAGTCTGTCTCTGAGTGCCATCACCACTGCTGCAATGCTTCTGGGGAGATGCAGCATCACTGACTAAGCTGCCTGCTGATGGAGACCTGAGTTGTGTCCAGTAGAGACTGTTAGGAAGAAAGTCAGTACTTGGGTGCCAATCTTATTGTGGGGGTAAAAGTTCATGCTTTAAGACTGAAGTATTTGGAAGGCTATGCGGTGCTGAGTTTGTATACAGAGCAGGCTAAGTGGGCTCCAGTGCAGTAACTGCATGGCTGGACACACTGTTTCACCTGTGGCACCAGAGACACTTGTCTTTGGAGGGAGTGGATGGTTACTTTTTGTAGGGGAAGGATCACCTGAGTGACCCTGTACGATGAGGGCAAGGTCAAAGAATAGAAGAAGCTGCAAGAGTTTGGACTCAGGTTCTCTTTACCTATAGGGATGGTGGGAGTGGCTGCATGGATATAGGAACGTACAAAACTCATTGAGTTGTACATTTAAAATGGTGTGTGCTGTAAGAAAATTTATACCTCAAAAGTGATTTAGAGGAAAATAAAAGAGAAGTCAAAGACCACCAGGCCCACGTGGTAAGCCTACAGCATGAACCAAAACCAGAACTCGAATAAAACAGGTATTGCAGAAGCAGAAGAAAACAAAGAAATTGTAACTCACACCTTTAAGAAAGGAGGAAGTGCTGGAAACAGGGCGCTGTTTATGAAGGCAGCTGAAGAACAAAGGGCCGCCTTGACATCTAAAACAACAGGTGAAAGTTACAAATCCAGGAAAGCCTGGAGGATAACCAGGAAACTGTCTCAGCAACAACCAACACAGGACACAGGAGAGAGCTTGACAGTCCAGGATGCCCGTCATTTAAAAGAGAAAATGGAAAAATGAACAAAAAGAGGAAGTTTAGAAATAACACAAGAATCCTTTAGAACTGAAGAATGTGAGTCTAGTTTAAAAACACTTCTCAAGTCACCTTGTTTTCCATCAAGTCGGGAAAGTGCCTGGCCATCACTTTGCCAGATGTTCTTTCTTTCGCCCCTTTGTCCTCTCCTTGAACTCTGATTAAACCTATGCTGGTGAATGTGATCTTCCAGGACTCTCTGAAACTGTTTTTCTTCTTTTTATTTCTTTGTTCTTCAGACTAAATAACCATAGTTGACATCTCCAAAGTATGTCGACTCTTTCTTTGTCTGCCACTGTTGATCCGTTCTTAATGAGTTTTCATTTCTGTCATCGTACTTTGAATATCTTCTACATGACTAATTTGATGATTTCAGTTCCTTCGCTGACAGTCTCTATTTAACAAGATATTTTTCTCCTACTTTACCTAGTTTCTTAGTAAGTCAGACATCTGTGTCGCCCTCAGGAACAGGTACTGTTGACTCTTTTTTAGTTTTTAAATTCTTCTAGATATGAGCAGCATTTCTCTTGTGTGTTTTGTTTTTCATGTTTCATAAATTTTGGATAAAGATTAGACATTTTAAACAATGTGATGTAGCAGCTTTGGAAATCAGATTCTCCCCTTCCTCAGGGTCATTTTTGTTATTGTTGTCGTTGCTGCCACTTTTTTGTTACTGCTGTTGCTGACTGCTTAGCAGTAGCCTCTTGTCACATGTGGATCCTAGAGTGACTGCTAGGTCACTTGGTGGTCAAGTTAAATTGCATGGATATAATATGTATATTGGAGACAGGGTGTCACTATGTAGCCCTAGGTGCCTGAAACTCACAGGGACCACATGCCTGGCTGGGTAGAAAAATTCTAAAAGCTCAAAGAACTAGAGACCTTTGGTGTGAGTTTTGCTAAGTGTCCGAGTGCATACTGACCCCGTCTTCAGGGCTCACTTCCTGCTTATGCGCCTTCAAGGGTAGGCAGTCTAAGGCGGTCACTCATAGTCTCCTTGTTCTGTCCTCAAGCTATGCATAGCCCTCTGCATGTGCTTGCTTGCACGAACGTCAGAGCTTTGCAGAGGGCCTGGTCCTGTCAGTCCACTGCCTAGCCTTTCTTTCAAGGATTCATCATCTGTTAAGCTTTTCTGATCAACTCCTTGTTTGCCAAGAAGGGGTTAGTATTGCCCTCTTCAGCTGCAGTATTGAAGGAAACGGCTATTGGTTTTGGTTGCTACTGCCATAGTCGTGGTAAGGATGGAATCAGGGCTTCGTGTGTATTAGCTGTGCTCCACCACTGAGCCACAGCCCAGCTCCTGCTTTAGCCTTCTTGTTTCTGATAGGGATTCTCAGAAAAACAAACAAACAAACAAACAAACAGTTTCTACTATGTAAACTCTGGTTTAAGCCAAATAAAACCAAGCCCTACAAGTGTTTGTTTTTTTTTTTTTCTAGAAATGGTCAAATAATGATAGTTACCTTAAGAATGGGCCTATGTAAAGGTCTCCAATCATATCCTGTTCATTCTTGTGACATCTAGGCTACTGGCTCTCACCATGATTTCAGGTGACCACAGACTGGCCAGCAGACTAGTCAAAGTAAACAGCACGACCCTGCAGTATGCTCCGCAGCATCTGAGATAATGAGACAGGGCCCGTATCTACTAGAATTAAAGGGTGCCAGCGACTTTAATGCGTGAAAAAAGCCTATTAGGAATATTGACTAATGTGTTTCTAAGTAAATCCATTTCTACCACCAGTCTGTTAAAACTCTGAAGGTTGCACTCTGCTGAGTAAACGAAGAAACAAAAAAACCTGGAAGGACACATACCAGAGTCCAGCAGATACTTCTCCCTAACAGGGTTTTCTCTGAATGAAAGATTTTACAACAAGCTACTGTTCTTTTTTTTTAATTTTCAGCTCCTTTGGTTTTTTCAGAGTATTTGCCTATGTAGTCATCTTGCTCCTCTGAAAAGCAGTGAGGGTTGGTGTGGGCATGAAATCTACTCTCTGAAATCTCTCCTTGCCTTCTTAGGCTGTCCTCCATGGTCAAGTCTCATTACATGACTTGGTTCCTACTTCTGATTTGCTGGCTATAGAAATGTCTTAGGTGTCTCTTCATCCTTTTTCTGTATTCAGTCTCTTCAGTTGCAGTTTTGGTTAAAGTCACACTCTACATACTTAGACTTAAGCAAACACTGTTTATCAAAAGTCACATGGGATTTCTTTACCTTCTGCCCAGTGTAAACTATTTCGTGGAAACAATGTCATTTTCCCCCTCAAGTTACCCCATTTTGGGTCAAGGACACTCTTTGTCCAGAAAATGGATATAGGGGGAAGAGAAGCTCTTTGGAAAGCTGTTTGAGACTCTGCGGAACTGAAACATGCCGTCTTCAGCTATTATGTTCCACTGAGTTTGCATGGTCAGAAGATTCTAGGTGAAAATACAGTTAAAAGTGCTTTCTCATTTTTCTGGAGGTTCTTTTTTTAATTGGTGGTGGTGGTGGTGGTGGTGGTGGTGTGTGTGTGTGTGTGAGAGAGAGAGAGAGAGAGAGAGAGAGAGAGAGAATGAATGGGTGTATATGTACCCAAATCCCTTGGAGCTGGAGTTCCTGGCATTTGAGAGCAGTCAGACATGGGTGCTAGTTAGAGCCTCAAAGCAACAAGCTCACTTAACTGCTGAGCCATTGCTCAAGCCCCAGATGTGGAGATTTTAAGATCTTCATTTTTATTTCCTGTGTTCTGAAATTGCAATCAGAGCTGAGATAAACCCCAAAGAAATCTACACCTGGATTTATCCTAACTACACTTTTGAAAACCAAGGACAGAATTTAAAAAGCAGCAACCAACTGTGAGCTACAGAGTTAGTACCTGTCTAAGAATACTGGAGGAGCAGGGTGAGGGAGGAGGGTGCAGGAGGAAGAGGGTGTGGGAGGAGGAGAAAGAAAAGAAGGAGGATGAAGTACAGAAGCAGAGGGATACCATTGCAAATTCTTAAAAAGGCAACCAACTAGAATTATATATTCAGCAGACCTTCAAAAAGATGAAGACATATTTTCAACAAAAACTAGTTCACAAGTGTTTACAGAATTATTTGTAGTAACCAAGTGGTAGAAGCAATCAGAATATCCATCAATTGAATAGTATGTGGTGTGTTCATTCAGGAGTTACTCATTAATAGAAAGGAGCAAAGTATTGGTGCTTGCTGTAGTCTTAGTGAGGCTCAGAAAACTGCCAAATGGAAGAAAACAGGCACAAAAGGCACACTCTGCATAACCCTGCAGTATACAAGTGTCCCGAGGAGACTTGCTGAGCTATGCAGAAAGAATTGGTGGTCTCTGGAGGCTGGAGAAGAGGGATGATAAGTGGTTGCTGGTGAGTATAGATTGTTTTCCCTTTGAAATGTGGCTCTAGTAAGGAGGTAGATGGTTGTAATGGTCACACAGCTTTGTGAGAGCTTTACGGTGGTGAATTATCTTCATGAAGACACTGAAAAGTCGAAGAAGGTACTCTGCTGAAGACCGAGTTCGTAATCAACGAAGAAACAACCCCAGCTCAAAAATATCAAGAAGTATAGATTATAGAGTTTTGAGTGAGAGATAAGAAACAATCTGGCATTGTAACTTTTGGTGGCTAAGAAATCAGAGATCAGAGTTGAGAGGGACAGAAAGAGGAACAGCAGGCTCAAAGTGGCAGAGCTGTCTTTCCTTAGCGGAAAGGCCAACCAGAGACCGGTGTGTGCACTAGCAGGTGTCTCCAGAAACTTCCAGCTTCCCAGGAAGAGAGAAAAACCTACATGCTTCTAGATGAAAAATAACAAAGTTCTTAAAAAGGCAGCTACCTAGAATTATATATTCAGCAAAATCAGAGACCTTACGTAGTTTCATTCTTACTATAACTATCATTATTTGATCATTTTCTGAAGGAAAAGAAATTACTTATGGGGCTTGGCTTTATTTGGCTTAAGCCAGAGTTTATCCAATAGGAAAACATTTTTTTCTTGAGTTCTTTATATATTTTGGAGATCAAACCTTTGTCAGTTGCGGGGTTGGTGAAGATCTTCTCCCAGTCAGTGGGTTGCCTTTTTGTCTTAGTGACAGTGTCCTTTGCTTTACAGAAGCTTCTCAGCCTCAGGAGGTCCCATTTATTCAATGATGCCCTTAGTGTCTGTGCTGCTGGGGTTATACGTAGGAATTGGTCTCCTGTGCCCATGTGCTGTAGAGTACTTCCCACTTTCTCTTCTATCAGGTTCAGTGTGTTCGGACTGATATTGAGGTCTTTAATCCATTTGGACTTGAGTTTTGTGCATGGTGATAGATATGGATCTATTTTCATTCTTCTACAGATTGACATCCAGTTTTGCCAGCACAATTTGTTGAAGATGCTCTCTTTTTTCCATTGTATACTTTTAGCTCCTTTATCGAAAATCAGGTGTTCATAGGTTTGTGGGTTAATGTCAGGGTCTTCTATTCGATTCCATTGGTCGACTTCTCTGTTTTTATGCCAATACCAAGGTGTTTTCAATACTGTAGCTCTGTAATAGAGTTTGAAGTCAGGGATGGTAATGCCTCCAGACAATCCTTTATTGTATAAGATTGTTTTGGCTATCCTGGGTTTTTTGAACATGGGATGTACTCACTCATATTTGGTTTCTAGCCATAAATAAAGGACATTGAGCTTATAATTCATGTTCCTAGAGAAGCTAAATAAGAAGGTGAATCCAAAGACAAACACATAGGCATCCTCATGAATATTAACCTTCATCAGGCGATGAAAGGAGACAGAGACAGAGACCCACATGGGAGCACCGGACAGAAATCTCAAGGTCCAAATCAGGAGCAGAAGGAGACGGAGCACGAGCAAGGAACTCAGGACCACGAGGGGTGCACCCACACACTAAGACAATGGGGATGTTCTATTGGGAACTCACCAAGGCCAGCTGGCCTAGGTCTGAAAAAGCATGGGATAAATCCGGACTAGCTGAACATAGCGGACAATGAGGAATACTGAGAATTCAAGAACAATCGCAGTGGGTTTTTGATCCTACTGCACGTACTGGCTTTGTGGGAGCCTAGGCAGTTTGGATGCTCACCTTACGAGACCTGGATAGAGGTGGGCAGTCCTTGGGCTTCCCACAGGTCAGGGAACCCTGATTGCTCTTCAAGCAGATGAGGGAGGGGGACTTGATCGGGGGGAGGGGGAGGGAAATGGGAAGCGGTTGCGGGGAGGAGGCAGAAATCCTTAATAAATAAATAAATTTAAAAAATAAAAAAAAAAAGAAAACATTTTTTTTCCTGAGAGTGTATGTCAGAAGACAGACTGGGCATGATGAGCACACCTTTAATCCTGCACTTGGGAAGCAGAGGCAAGCCGATCTCTGTGAGTCCAAACCCTCTTAGTCTCCACAGTCACTTCCAGCCAGCCAGGGACACATAGTAAGATCCTGTCTCAAAAAAAGCTAACTATTCTCACAAAAACTATGAGAGTGTTTAATCTACTGTACTCAAGCAAAAAGCAAGGGTTTAAAAAACTTAAAGTTGAGCATTTCTCCCAAACTAATAAAGTAAGAAAGAAAATTTCTAGGTGCCTCATAGTGGAACGATTGGAGATCAAACTCAGGGAAATTTTAAGAGCAGCCAACACACACACACACACACACGCACACACACACACACACATTTATACGTGCACACACACACATACACAGAGTACTCATCATAGCAATAATTAGACTGACTTGTGGTTTTATAGCAGGAAAACATAGAAACTCCTGAGATGATCTATTTAAAGGTCTTAGAGAAAATAACTACCTAGAGAGAAAACCCTTCCATCATTCAGGTGTGGTAAGGTATTTTCAAACCTTCAAAACTGAAGGGATGTGTCAGCCCCTAGCCTTGCAATCTCAGCAATGCTATGGAATGCTACTCGGGGGCAGGCAGATGATTCCAGTAGAAATTCACAGTAGAAAGGAGGACTTTTTTTCTAGCACAGTGAATAGTGACTTTAAAATGGAACATGTGTATGGTAGGGAATGATAGCTGGTATGGTAATATCTGTGGCACGTACTGTATAATTAGAGCCAAAAAAGTGGTTTGGCTCTGGACAATATATTAGTTATTTTTCATCTGCTGTGATAAGCACTGTGACCAAAGCAGCTTACAGAAGAATGGTTATTTGGGTTCCAGAGGGAGAGTCTGTGATGCTGGGGCAGATGTGGCAGCTGCCTGCAGCATGTTACCTGAGCAGAAGCTGAGGGCACAGAGCAGAGAGAGCAGCTACCACTAAGGAGAGGCCTTAAACCCTCAAAGCCCACTCGTAGTGACGTACCTCCTTCAGTAAGGCCATGTTTCCTAAACCTCCCCAGAGAGTGTCACCAACTAGGAGTGTTCCGATGTCTGAGACAATAGAGGGTACTTCAGGGGACAGTGGTCATGAAGGATTCACCACCTCGGCTACAGCTACTCAGAATACAGCAAGACATTGACTGTTCTTCTCTAAGCTACAGGCGAACATCCCGTATTCACAGCATACAGAGGGGAATCCCTCATCACATCTCCTCCCTTACTTTCTGTTTTTCTGATTCTTTCAGGCTTTTCTTTCCATTACTTTTTCTCATCCTTATTGTCTTCCTGCCAAATGTTCTTGCATGCGTCTTACCAACTGTGGCTGTGAGGATGTAGTTTTGAAATAGAGTTGATAGTATATTTTTAGTAGTGATGAAAATACAGATAGCTTGATAGCTACCACTTTAACTGTTGTAAGTGCACATTGTGGCATTAGATGCATTTGCACAGCTGTACAGCTGATACTACCCACTAACCCCAGGACATCTGCTGTCTTAGAAAGCTGAAAGACTTAGTAAATTTTAATACCCTTCTTATTTTTAAAGACATTTTATATGTATCTGTAAATACATACACACACACAACCTGGTCCCCATTAGAGAGGTCATAAAATTCCCTGGAACTGGAGTTCCAGTCAGTTGTGAACTACCATGTGGATGCTGAGAATTGAGCCCGGGTCCTCTGGAAGAGCAGCTGAGCCTTCTCTCTCTAGCCCCTTAGTATCTTTCATGTAAGGATATGTATTACTAGCGATGGCATAGCAAAGTTCAATGGGTGAGCTATTTCTCCCCTTTAATAGTGTATTTTTATGTTAGGAACTTGTGGGAGTCAGTGCAGTATCCTTCCCTGGGTCATTTCGTGATAGACTTGCTTTAGACTTAGGATGTATTTTTGAGGTCATAAGTATGACAGATTAATTGAAATGGTCCAAGTTTTGTTTAGTTCTAAAAAGAAACATTTAGGAAATCTTACATTTGATATAGGTTATAAGTGTTGCTTTTCCTTTTTAAAAGAGCTATATTTTGTCATAGAATTTTAATTTTAGCATAGCATCCATCTATATGCTGGGATTCATGGGTTATCCTACTTAGCCACAACTGTCATAGTACACAGGCACATTTTGCCTGGGAACTCATTTGTTGGCTCTGAATTCTACTCTCTGTGGACCTATCAATGTGAGGAGGGAGAAGGGGAAAAGAAGCTGGCAATGTGAACATGTTGTCCTTGGGAGTATTGTTTTAAGCTTTCTTTGGGTTTGTTTAGAGCAATGAACTAATTAAACTTGGTCCAAAGAATTCTTTTTCACATCTTGGTTCTGTAGCTTGCAGTGAGCTGCACACTCCTTCACTAGATCGAAAACCAAATAGTTTTGTGGCTGTGAGCGTCACCACCCCTCCGCAGGCATTCTGGACGAAGCACGCGCAGACTGAGATCATTGAGGTGGGTGCTGCTGGTTCCTCTCACGCTTACAGCTGCCTGTGGTCCTCATAGGAGAGCTGTTCATTCTTGGGCATCTGTAGCTTCAGTTCCATATCTGTGAGTTATTCCCCATGATTTTTCAGTTCATTTATACTTTTTGTCATGCTCCCCTGGGTGGCCCTTAGTCTGCCACATCCTTCATGATTTTTGACGAACTATTGGTTGCTATTTTAAAGAAGTGATCCTATGATTGGTCGACACTTAAGAGAGAAGCCCTAACTCTTCCTGTCACTTCCAGTTGGCTGCTGTCACTAGAGAATGAGGCTCATTAATCAGTGCTTGGAAGAGTGTTTCCTGCTAGGCTGGGCCAGGCCAGTGTTTCTACTAACTTTTGTTTTTGCATTCTTTTGTGTTTTGTGCACTTTTAAAAATAATTTATATAGCTTTTCCTAGGGAAGTTTACAAAATTTTTAGGTAGTTTAGCTATATATATATATATATATATATATATATATATATATATATATATGTGTGTGTGTGTGTGTGTGTGTGTGTGTGTGTGTGTGTGTGTGTATATATAATTCATCTATGTATATGAGTTATAGTGTGACATATAGAAGGTTCTGATATGGAATTCCACAGAGTTTTAACATGAATAATTATCAAATTAAGCTGTATTTTTATATTTCTATACTTTTATATGAACACAATAATGTAATTTTATCTTAAGTTTTCCATTCTAGAAGCCAGGCCTCTGAGAGTCTCCCAGAAGCCTATCTCCAGGTCAGACCATAGATGGTCTAAGCACTTGTTGAGCACTGACCTCATGCCAAGCTCTGTACTAATGTTGGTACCAAACCCACAAGGGCATCAAGAGTTCTCATGGGGGAGGGGCTGAAGTTTGCTTGGTCACTTCCATGCACGGGAATGCATGGGGAGCATTGGGGTGGCAGAGAGAGGATACAGGAGCAGCATCCCTTCCGGCAGGCTTCCTAGGTGGAATTTGAGGGCATTCTGCTGCAGCAAGCCCAGATGGAGTCCTTGCTCTGCAGATCTCACAGCTAAGCCTGCACTTCTGTCTAGAACTGCACATAGTTATGTGAAGGCAGGCTGATAGCAGAGCATCATGGGAGTTTAAGAAATAACTGTATCTTGCTTGGTGTGTGCAAGAAACAAGCTTTGTAGGCTGAGCCAGGGCGCTTGTGATATAGCACAGTAGTCAGCTCTGCAGGACTTGAGTAGGGACGTCTCATGACTCTGACAGGTGTCTGGGGGAGTGGTGCAGGGTGACTTTAGCAGGAGGAAGAAGTGGGAAGAACAGGTGTGTGGAAAGAGGCACCAGAGTAGACCTTGGAGGAAGGGTTTGTGGTCTCCCAGTCAAGCCTATTCAGTAGACAAGGAGTACCAAGGTTGTGTCCCAGATCTTTAGCCTGCTTTCCCGGGGCACATGGAGGGAAGATGGGAGGAGGGGCCGGCCAGCAGGCACTGAGAGACTAGATCTAAGCTGCTGACCAAGCATCGCTCAGGTACAGAGAGGCCCAGTAAGTGCTTGGTTGAGGTGCTCGGCATCACTGAGAAGGGTGTGATGGAGTGCTGAGGCAAAACTGCCAGGAAACAGACCCCTGTGATCCAGAAACTAGAACCTGCTCCTAAAAGAGGATGCTCTTAAAAGGTCAGTTTTAATTATTCCAGACACAGGAGTCCGGAAATAATTACTGAAACCGTCCATTTCCTCTTTCATCTGCCTGTGCACACAGCTGACAGGAGCAGCCCTGAGTAACAGTCTAAATTTATGCACACCTAAAACTGTACTGCCAGGAATGCATGTGGATGTCAAATCCAAACTCATTTCAGGGTTCAAAAGTCCACTCCTGAGTGGGGAAGCTTTAGGAGTGAGTCCTCTGCGTGGGCCTGCGGGTCCCATTGGGTTGGTGGGGATCTTGCCGGGCTGTGTGTTCCTGTGGTTGTTGTCATGTGCTGTCATTAGCGTTTGTGTTAGCAAATCAGTGAAAGTGGTAGCTTCCTCATTCTGAAAATGTGAGGGCAGTTCAAAAGCAGTCCCTTAAAATACAATCCACCTGTTTTCTCTTCCAGGGAACCAACAACCCTATCTTTCTCAGCAGCATTGCCTTCTTCCAAGACTCCCTTATCAATCAGATGACACAAATCAAGCTGTCTGTGTATGATGTCAAAGATAGATCTCAGGGAACAGTTAAGTAACGTGCGGTTTGCGGAACAGTCTCCGTTCACCTATAGTTATGTAACAGTCTGAGCAAGGTGTGAGCACAAGACTGAGTTTACTACTGGCTTATGAGCCAACCTGCACCAAAGCATACTTGTGTCTGGATTTCACTTCTGAACGTTGTGATGGGTTCGTGAGGTGAGGGTGGGAGGGAGGTGTTGTAGGAAACCCCCAATTTCCCTGGGCTATGGCATGCATATCGGAAGGACACCAAGTATCCTTATAATTGCGCCTCCCTGTTGTCCTCAGATGTATTTATTGGGCTCTGGAACATTCGTTGTCAAAGATCTGCTCCAGGACAGGCATCACAGATTGCATCTGACTCTGAGGTTGGTGTTTGCTTTATTCCTTTGAAAGGGTCTGAAGTTTTGCCCCACCGTCCTCCCAGAGACTGTCTAGGGGGAGGCAGTAGTATCTGCTGAGGAGAGGTAAGACCTGTCAGGATGGTGCCTTACTGCTCCCAGAACCCTGGTGCCCCAGGATGGCTGAGCCTTGCCTTAAAACCAGTGCTTATCAAGGCATGATGCTTGTTGCAGGTCTGCAGAGAGTGACCGAGTAGGTAACATAACTGTGATCGGCTGGCAGATGGAGGAGAAGTCAGACCAGCAGCCCCCTGTGACCCGGTCTTTGGACACTGTCAATGGGAGGGTGAGTTGGTACCTTTCTCATCTCCCTCGGGAAGAATAGGAGGATTGAATATCTTTGTGCACATCTGTGCTCAGTAAGCGCAGGACCTGCTGTGTGATACTGCCTTCATGGGACCCCCAGGTCTTTCTGGGCTATGGCGCCACGTGGAACGGGAGGGCTCCTGGTCTCACATACAAAGCCCTGCTGACCTGGAGCTGGCCGCTGCTCCCTGTGCCACTCTTGCCACTTCTGTGGCACAGGATGGAGAGCAGACTAGCATGGCTGGAGGTGTAGACGGGGGCAGAGGGGGTGGTGGAAGTGAAGAGGGGATGCAGACCTGTACCTTCCATTACATTCTGGTAGCAACTGCCTTTCCCAGAGTCACCTCCTTCACACCACATCCTCCTGGACCCACCCTTCCTATCCTCTGTCTCCTTGTGGCCCACACAGTCTCTCACCCAGATACTACTACCAATTTAGAATTCTAGTCTAAGAGCCTATCACTATCAAGGAAGAATTATAAATACAAAGACACCTGAAGTATGCTTAGAACACTAGCACTGAGGATATTCTTGGTACCCGAACCCTGAAACCCACGATGAGATGAATTAGAAGACAGTCATGTGATGAGAAGTAGGCATGCGTGGAGTGTGGGGAGGAACATCGGACATGTACACTGTAGATTAACGCTGCACATTCAGCTGCCAGCTCTTGTGTGATGCCGGCACTCTGGAGTCCTCGGTCTCAGTGTTCTTGTGTTTTTCTGTGCCTGTTGTCAGATGGTTCTGCCTGTTGATGAGAGCTTGACTGAGGCACTGGGAATACGGTCCAAATATGCTTCTTTGCGAAAAGACACTTTGCTGAAATCAGGTAAGCAACTTCTGTTGATGCCCTTGCTTCTCTTGTGACTCTCCACCTACCATGAGTGTCACAGACATGCCCCAGATGCCACCTGTCTGCTGCAGTTCTTCAGTACAGTGTTTTCTGCAGCACATAGAGCCAGTGATCTCTTAAGGAAGGGCTCCTTTCGTTCACGTTCATTTGACATTGGCTTTAGTGACTGACCGTGTGCCCGCCCCAGCTCCTCACACTTTAGAGTTACTTCTGTCTTCTGACATAGGGATGAGTGTCAGGTTCAGCCAGTTTGGCAGGACTTGGTTTAAGTGGTTTTTGTTTTTTGTTGTTGATGTTTGCTTTCTTGGGAAAAACAGGGCTTGATGTCCCTGAAGGCCTGAGTAGGGGGAACCATGCAAGCAGGTCTGCAGCCACTTCTCCCACAGCCTATCTTCTTGTGTTCTCACCTCAGTGTTCGGTGGTGCCATCTGCCGCATGTACCGGTTCCCAACCACTGATGGCAACCACCTACGGATCCTGGAGCAGATGGCAGAGAGCGTCCTCTCCCTGCATGTGCCTCGGCAGTTTGTGAAGCTGCTGCTGGAGGAAGATGCAGCCAGGTGAGGTCACATGGGTGAACACTCAGCACCCCGGGTCGTGTGCACATCTATGCCTTAGACACGCTACAGCGCAGACCCAGGCTCTGCCTCATGTTGGCTTAGCAGCTAGCCTTCCAGAGTCTTAGTTTGCTCCTCTGTCTCACAGATTGCTGGGCAAGAATTTCACAAGGATGTGTTCTTGAAGCCCCAGAGGCTTGGCTAACATCTTCCTTTTGTCTGTCTCTTTTTCCTCTTGTTCGTCCTGTTTGGAAGATGATCCTTCAGAGCACTCTCCTGCTATGGAGCAAAGCTCTCATCCTGAGGCATATGTTTTTTTCCAGTTCCAAGTAAGAGTGAGGCTTTTTTGTGTCTGTCTAAGGCTGTGACCTCCACACCTTTTTCTAAATCAGTGTTAGTGATTAACACCATGTAATCAGAGTCCCAGTATCCTACCTAATACAGATGTTTTTATTTTTACCCTGAAAAGAAAATTGAATATGAGAAAAATAGCAAGAATTAGTGAGTACCACATACCTTTCATCTAAATTTTACCAACTTGTATTTTGCTGTTTTATTCTATTTATGTACATATTTCTCATAATTTTAACTTACAGTTGTTATTTGTGCATATTTATATAGCTATAATCAGTTTCCCTGTGCGCCTTCAGTTTTCATGTTTTAATTTTCACCACTCTGGTGATGTCATGTGGAGGTCAGAGGACAGCTTTGTGGACTCAGTTCTCTCTCTTCACCATGTGGCTCTTGGGGATCTAACCGGCAGGGTTAGCAGCAAGCACCTTTATCCACAGAGTGATTTGTTTTTATTGTTGCCTGCTTTGTTTCACTGTGCGTTACTGCTTGAAAGAGCCCCTTCATCGTACAGGTGCTTTAGAGCCAGTTAAATTGTTGGCAGAAACTCAGTGTGGGCAGCAGGGACTCTCAGAAAGGGAGATGGGACCACTCCCAGAAGTGTGAGACTATTGCCGTGTGTTTGACATGGAAAGGGAGTTGTTAGAGTGATTTCTCACATCCCCTGTCCCTTCTGTTCTTAGAATAGCATCATCCTGCAGAGAACTATGCCAGTGCCTGCATGGTACCTTCAAGGTCACCAGGCAGATCTACTCCTTAACTGCTCCTTCCCCTCCCCACACCCACAGTTGTCCCTCAGCATTTACCTAGTTCCTGTAATGTTTCTCCACATGCTTCCCCTGAGCTCAGTGATCTCTCCCAGCATCCTGTGTCTGGCTGTTTGGTGTCCCTTTAGACTGGCTGTGTAACTGCTGGCCTGGCTCACAGACAACACTGCTGCCTCTCCTACACTCTGTGTTCTCGTTGCAGCTCCAGGGGAGGTGAGTCAGCCCTGTGATGTGTGTGTCTTGTTTACAGAGTATGTGAGCTGGAAGAGTTGGGGGAGCTGTCCCCTTGCTGGGAGAGCCTCCGGCGGCAAATTGTCACCCAGTATCAGACAATCATCCTCACCTACCAGGAAAATCTGACTGACCTCCATCAGTACAAAGGTGGGTGTGGTCCTGTCCTCCCAAGGTGCATGCATATCCCACGTTCCCAGCCAGATAGCTCCGAAGCTCACTGATTATCTTGAGTGGGTTATTAAAAATAGATTCTCATGTAGGTGTGAATTATTTCAACTCTGTGCTTTTCAGATCTTAATTAAAATGATAAATTGGTAAATTGCAAGAAGGCTTTCTATGGTGTTATTTCCTAAAACAGCTGCTGTAGAATAGGTTGAAGCAAGGCAGTGTCTCAGGTTATCTTGGTTCATGTGGGTTCTTCTGGGTCTTACACCGCTGAAGACCAAAAGGATGTTATCTGTCTGAAGCAAAGTAGTTTTCTAGTTTAAATATTCAATGTCATTCTTATTGAATGTGTAAATTGTCAGAGTGCAACTCTCTATTTTAAGACTCGAAAGAGAAAGTAAAGTTCAGACACTTCAACTTTTTTTCTAACTTGCTTTTTCTTCTTCCCAATTGGAGGCTGGGGGTTAAGGAAAACACCCTGCCACTGTTTATTCTAAAATGATACTTGATTTTCAAGCTATGAGAATTCTTTTTAATCTGTTTTCTTTTTATCCCAAATGGGATGAATTTTTCATTTCTTAATTGTTTCCATTTTTCAAAGTACTCTCTTTCTCTTATGACATTTATTTTATAAAGATGAATTTTATTTTATTTTTGATATTATTATATAATTACAGCATTTCTCGTTCCCTTTCCTTTTTTCTTTGCAAGTATTATTTATCTCTGGTTTCTTTCCTTCTATATGATGCTTTGTCCATTGAAGGAAAATCTTAAACCCTTAATGCGACTTTCACACAGAATATAAGAACTCTTCCATAAACTTAGCTCAGAGGAAGTCAGAGCTGAGACAAGATGGTGGTATGTGCCACAGGTCCAAGCTCAAATAAGTCTGAGTGAATTGCTTAGAGAGATGGCAGCATTTACCTGAAGGGTTGAGGCACCTACCCAATAAATGCTGGATAATGTTCCCGAGAAAGCGTGAAATGCGTGCAAACTGAGTTTACTGGATAGAGCTTCTCAAATGTCAAAAGCTAGTCTGAGAAACTTAGTTAAACACGGGCCTTGGTCTTATTTCTTGTAGTGTCACAAGACAGACACAGCGCAGGTCTGAGAGTCACTGTGTGGCTACCAGACTCCTGTGACAAAAGGCAGATCACATAGCTGCCGTCTGCTGGAGAGCCACAGGTGTTTCTCACTGACTGCAGTCTTTGTTTCTTCCTCTTCTGTTGTCATTTTCATTGTAATCCCTTTGGCTGGTAGATATGCGATCCTCCTTGAGTTGTGGATTCTGGATTCTGATTCTAGAAATAAGACCGTGGTTACTGGTTACATTGTCTGGCTTCTAGCAACACACATGTGTGAGGGAACTTACTAGAATGTACTGGAGAAGGCAGGCAGGCTTCAGTGCTGTGTAACCCTGTTCATCTTGATGGACCCAAGGTGAGGAGCAAACCTCTTCATCTCTTCAGATCGAGCTGTGCTGTTCCAGAAAGACCAGTTTCTAGGCTCTTGCGTGAGAGAAATCTGTAGAGGTGTGGCAGGTTGTCTCTGACATGGTCCCCTGGCATCATACTGCCTAAGGTCACATCTGTGTGTCATGTCTGTGAGCTGACTGAGTCACAGGAGGGATGGCCTCATCACTACTGTAACCTAAAGTCCTTATCCCTGGTCTGCTCACTGGATAGCATTCAGAGTCAGCCCTTTTTTGTCTTGAATGGCCACTCAGAATTTTCTAGGCCTCTGTGGAGATACACCTGCTTTCATGCAGCAACACCTCTAGCTTACTGCTTTCCTGCTCTTGCATGATGCATGCTGATGGCTCTGTTTTCTCGTGTTCCATTCCTTAGGTCCTTCATTTAAAGCAAGCAGTTTGAAAGCAGATAAAAAGTTAGAATTTGTTCCCACAAACCTGCACATACAACGGATGAGAGTTCAAGATGATGGAGGCTCAGGTACTTAATTTTCTTACCCTGATGTTGAATTGTGTACCACTCCTTTCTTTCTGTATACTTGGCCGCTGAATTGCTCTATATCTGGCTCATTTTTTTCTCATATGCTCCATTGCTGGGCAGCAAGAGAAAACAACATGTGTGCACACATGCACACACACAGACAGACCTCGGGGGGGGGGGCACAGACGTAAGCTCGCGCACACACATACACTATACACAGACACACCCCCACAGACCTTTAAAGAATTATTACAGAGTCCAAACCTCTTCCTTATATATCTTCAACTTCCTTTTGTTTTTATGGTAGAAAGTTACCCATCAGTGAGCCTTTCCCAGGAAGAGTAGAAGTGAGCATTTAGCAGCCCAGGTGGCTTTACCTTTAGACACCAACTTTCCTACTGAATAGTCCGTGTTGGGTTCAGCAAGCTCCTTTTCAGCCTCTGATGTCGGATCAGGGAGCCATAGGCTGTTTGCATGTGAGCTGTTGGGTCCCAGAGTGCTGTGCATATTGCTGTAGCTGGCCTGTCACAGGCCTGATTCCAGAGTAACGGAGGAAAGCTTTCTGTCACTCAGATCAGAACTATGACGTTGTCACTATCGGAGCTCCAGCAGCACATTGCCAAGGTTTTAAGTCAGGAGGTCTTCGAAAAAAGCTGCACAAGTTTGAAGAGACCAAGAAACAGTAAGTAAAGGAGGGTATTTGTGGTCCTTGCCCAGCTGTGTCTGATGTTTGTGGAGTTAAAATAAAGAATCCAAACAAAACCGCAAAAACATGCAGCCATCTGATCTGCTTCTGCGCGGCTGGAGGAGCTGCTATAGGGACCCCGTGCTACTGTGTGTATGCGTGTGGCTGAGTGAGTGAGTGGCTAGGGCACCTAATCAATAGTCCAGTTCTTTCCATGTGAGCAGCACACAGAGTGGGCCCTGAGTGTGGCTTCAGGCAGCCGCCTGTGTGCAGTTCCTGCTGCCTCAGCTTCCTTCAGAATCTCTCGTCAGTTGGTGGAGCACTAGACTTGTAAGCCTCTGACAAGACTCTACTTTCAGGGATCATTTCTATGGTTCATAAACCCCTGGCAGTCTGTGTCCTTTTCTAAAGGATGGTGGTGGCACCTATTCCCACTGCTGAAAGGACCTAGAGTGTTGTGCAGTTATGTCCTGAGCAGGACGTTGCCAGATAGGCAGGGTGTGGAAAGGCCTCTCAGATGAAGCCTTCCTTGGATCCCTTTCGATGTGTCACCTGGCAAAATGTAAATGGATCAAAGGGGTGTGAGTGTTGCGTGAGATGAGTGATGATCTTGTAAGTTCTTGGGTAGACTGTGAGGTGGAGGAAGTAGCATAGAGATCTCAGTTTCAGGAGACTGCTATGGTCTGAGTGTGTTTGGGCGACTGTGGAGCATGCATGTATGTAAGGTGAGGTCGAGGCAGGACTAGTCCAGTTATCCCAGGAGGGACGAGGTAGCAGGTGGGTTAGCAGAGAGCTCTTAAGGTGGGAGGGAGCAAGACAAGGTGTTACTGGAATGCCCCTGCAGACCGTTATCTTGAGTTGAGAGGAGGATGGTTTGGGAGACAGGAAAAAAAGATCCAGGGAGCCCCGGAGGCTCCCATGGGGTGGCGGAGGATGCAGGTGGAGGAGGATGCTAGCGCAAGTGGGCGTTGGTTGTACACCTGCCTGGTTCTGCTGCTGTGGCCAGAGTGAGGGTACTGCACAGCTGGATCAGGATGCTGGACAGGTCAGAGCAGTGGCCCATCAGGGGCTGTCTGAGTCAGGAAGACAGGTCAGAGTGCCACTGGTGTGGGTGACGACTAAGCAGGGAACAAGAAAGGACATCCTCAGAGGAAGGCCGGGCTCAGCAAAGCCCTTTCTGCATTCTAGTGAGGCAGTCAGTCTTGATTGCTCCCTACTGAGCAGACAAACTGGGGAGCCAGACTTCCTTGGCCATTCATATCTGCAGTGCCCTAAGGAGTAGGAAGTGCAGAGCTTTCAGTGGCCATCGCAGTTCTTTCTGTGCAGGCAGCCAAAGGGTGTGTGTCTTGCCATTGCCTGAGCCATGTGGAAAGAGTGAGTGTATGAGCTGAGGCGGACCAGTTCCCCCAGAGAGAAAGTCCTAGACCAGGAGGGGGACACCTGGTGGTCCCTTGTCCCTAAAAGGTTGCAGTTTTGATGCCAGAGGACTTCACTTTTTAGCCTCAGGACTTACTTTCCCAGTGCCTCTTGTGGTCTCTCAGATGTATGAAACAGATTTTATGTAACCGTACTACTGTCAGAAATCCACTTTCTGACAGTGCGTGCTCTCTGAGCTTTCCTTTAAATGTGGATGTCCTGTGCCCTAGTAGGGTGTCCCTGGGGGCTTGAGTATAGGCCAAAACTTGCTTCAGGGAATAAGAATTTGACTCATAAGTTTGTTTATGCCCATAATCATGGCCTCAGCAAATTGCCTCTAAGTATTTTGAGAAAAAGAAAATCAGTCAGCCTTTAAATTTTGTTTTGCCTTTAGGATTTTGCTAACAATCGCTAATGCTTCGTTTTTGGTTTTTTTCTTTAGCAGTTTTGAGGAGTGTTGGTGAGTTTTCTGTCTGTAGAGAGAGTGTATGTTGATTCTTGCTCTTGTGCAGAGAAAGCCTGTGCTGTTCTTCATCTGGGGTGGCTCCATCCCATTTGCTGCGTGGCTCTGAGTTACATGTCCTTAGGCAGAGCTCTCCCTTCCAGCTGCAATGTTCTTTGACAATGAATAGCCAGTCTGCAGCCTTCCTTTCAAAGCCGACAGCAGTTTACTCCTGCATTCAGTGAGACAGATCCAGTTTGCCCCTCCCAGGATGCAGACGAGCACATTCAGGGCCCTGGATGATTGCTACATTTGGCAGTGTACGCCTTTACCCAGGGACCCACCTTGTTGATCCAGGCCATTAAGAGCCTTTTTCTTTTTTCTCTTTTTTGTTCAACACATGGTAGGCAAAGCTTAATTCCTGGCTGCTGCTCTCAGTTCTCTGATCTTCCAGATTTTCACCCCAGTATCTGACTCCAGATCATATGTTGATTAATTTTATTGATTAAGATTAATTAGATTAACGCTTCACTGCATTCCAACCATTTAAATTTTTTTTTTTTAAATTTTGGGACAGAACTGACTAAGTCCATCCAAGCTGACCTTGAACTCATCCTGCAGCCAAGGTTTTTCTCAAACTTGTAATCCTCCTGCCTCAGCCTTTGGTAGCTGGGATTACAGATCTGTGGCATCATGCCCAATTCAGGGAGGCTCACTCTTTTTCATAGGATGAAGAGTCAAATCCCCAAGGGCCTGAGGTATTAGCAGTGAAAGTAAAACATGGAGAGCCACGGGCCCCACTGTCCCTCGGTAAGTTCCAATCCAGGTGTTTTATGTGACCATGATCTAGAAAGTTCTTCAGGTTCCATCTTAACTGAAGATACCAGACCTTCCATATCTCAGGATGGGCTTGGTTACTACCCTGCTTTTACACTCTTCTCCCATGATTCCAATCTTTCCTAAGACAGGCGGGGACCTTCCCGCTTGGGAGCAAGGGGATACCCAAATCTGGAGGTGGAGGCAATTCCACAGGACTGTCAGCTGTGCATTGATAGCCTCATTCTTCATAGCCAGCGTTACTTTGCATGTTAGGTACTCCACTTATGCATACATGGCATTCTTTGTTTAGCCCATTGCCTCCACTGTGAGGAGGTACGGGTCAACAGATCTGGGGGAGGGGTTTAACTTGAGGCCATTGTCCTGGGCCTGTTGCCTGAAGAGGTGGGAGCCCTGAAAATGACTAGAACAGAGATGTCCTTCTGCTGGAGGACTGTGTGTTACAAGGCAGTAGAGCTGCTACACCCCACCCATTGCCTCGGTGTGGCTCCTGATTTGGGAGCTGACTAAGCGCATGTACCTGCGTGTTCCTGAAGTCCCCAAGAGCAGTTCTTGGAACTTGCCCATTCGTACCTTCACCACACCCTTTCGTGTGTCAGTCCTACTATAACTTGCCTTCTTAGAGCACAGGGTGAGCGGGGGTGATGCACACCCATCTGAGTATGCAAGCCCATGGGCACACACAGCAGGACACCTACACACACAGCACATAGTTCATGTAGACTCTAAAGGTTGAGGATAAGGAAGAAGAGATTCTATTTTTAAATTCTTTTTGGAAATGTATTGTCAGGACCTGATTGTCCCAAGCAGCAGCTATTCATTTGGGAGAGATTGCAGACTGGAAAGTAGCTCATGCTCACGGTGCTGTGGAATGACTTTCGTGCTGCACAGGCTCATCGCCATCTGCTGCATGGGCTTCTGGCAGATCCATCATTGTCCGTTGTGGTGTGTGGGCTTGTGGTGATGGTGTTGTTTCTTTCTGGGGCAGTTTGGTTTGTGGTGTTTGCATGTTTACCCTGTAGTCCAGAAAGGGCAGTGGTGGTTTCTTTCTGACTTACTCCTGGGTCTCTCTGGAAAGGTCTCAGGCGTCTCTCGCCTCCAACAAGTTGGGTAGGATGTGGTGAGGGTGGGCCACTATTGTCCCTCATTCCTGGAACTCAAGGTCAGCCCTTCATTTCAGAAGGAAAGGGACAACATTCTGTCCAGAGCTCAGTGTTCTTAACTCCTAGGAGACCTCTGCATTGGGGACTTTTATGTCTCTTCCTTATTTTCTTAGGCATCCTCAGATGGTCTTAAAAAATTAATAACGTTTGTTTGATTGAGACCTGAGCTAAGAGAAATAAGCTTATTGTTGCCATCTTGGATGGCCACACATGCTGACCCCACCCATGAAGCTAGGGCATCTGGAGCTGGCCCCTCAGAGGCTCCTGATTATATTGGGCAATAGCTGGCCTTGCACTTTGACGTGTTCTTTCCATATACATGTGCTGCTTGGTGGTGAGCAGCCAGGAAGGAGGAAGGACTGGGCTTTCAGAGCTATTGAGGTGTTGGGCCTGCCTCTGTTGGCAAGGACTCTACTTTCTCTTATGGAATGTTGTTGTCGACATAAGGATGTCCTGTGACAGGAGAAAGGAGTCCCAGTATTGAGAACTTGCTGTGGTTAATAAATATATGAGATAAAGATGTGGGTTTGCTCACAGGATGGCCAAACGAAGAAGCAAACATTAAAGTATGGTTTTTGGTTCTTTGTCTTTTTGCTTTGTTTTAATATATAGTCCAACATCTATTACAGTGTGGTAATTTAATCCTTTCTGGTGTAAGCAGACCCCAGATCTCTACTGAAAGATTGCTTATAAGTTAATAGATGAAATTTCTAGATAATATCCCAACATTGGGTAATTATTACAGTGATATTCCAATGTATTTATAGACATGTACATGCGTTTGGTAAATATGCACACATATACAGATACAAGTACACATAAAAATCTTTGACTTCTTTATGTATATTTCATACTTCTTAGATAAAAAGGATCTTTCGAGAGTGACCTTTACCCATCAGAGACTAAACTTTGGCAGGAAGATACCCCTTTATTTTAGGGTTAGTTGTGGGTGGGGTGAATGACTTTGGAGAGCCCCTTAGGACCTGTTGTTCCTTTTAGTACATCATCTAGCTGCCAGTCCATAATCTACATACCACAGGACATCATCCGAGCCAAGGAGATCATTGCCCAGATCAACACCCTGAAAACCCAAGTTAGCTACTATGCAGAACGACTCTCAAGGGCAGCCAAGGACAGGTCTGCCACCGGCCTTGAGAGGACTCTCGCCATCTTGGCAGACAAGGTAGGAGGGGCTGCCCAAATGCATGTGGGGTGGAGAGATTCCTTGGATTTTTGGAAACAACTAGACCACCTAGGGCCACTCAAGCATGCCTAGAGCTGGCCTTACGAGAGTAGCATTGTAATGACCTTGAAGGTTTCTCTTTTGTCCACTGCCCACAAAGTTACTGGGAAGTTTGGGGATCTGCCCGTGGTCAGAGCCCAGGCTGTGATTCTCAGGTGTGACTTGAAGCCAGTGTGTTGATGTGTCTTCTAGCAAGTAAATCTTCACATTCTTTTCCTGGGACTCATTGCATACGTTAGCTTCCTTAGTGACTTCCTAGTCAGCACCTATGTAGCAATTATTCAGACCTAAGAAATGAACAGTATAATCTTATTGGCTTCTACATAATTAATTTTAAAGAGTCTGTTTAACCGTAACTCAGTCCTGATTAAAAATCTGCATACTGAATATTGCATACTATCAACTTCTGATAGATGGTGATCCTTCCTATTACTCCATCTCTTTCCCTTCGCACACAGATTCTGATTACACCTCTCCACCCACCCCTGATTTGCTGGGCAGGAGCTCTTGTTCCTGCTCAGAATGTGTTATGTTCTTCACATGAGTTTTCACAGTATGAAGACAGAGCAGGACCACTAAGAAAGGAAGCTGTAGTTGTCAGCAGTAAAACTAGGAACGACAGAGCTCCTGTTGCAGTCTCCAAGACCAGAAGTGCGATGCTAGGAACGACAGAGCTCCTGTTGCAGTCTCCAAGACCAGAAGTGCGATGCCGAGAGTCCAATAGCTCAGAGCCTGGAACATTAAAAAATGCTTTAATAGTTGTACCAAAGTAATGTGTGACTTCGGGAGGCTGGGGCACATTCCACCATGTTGTCAAGGCTGGTGCCCCTTGCTCTAGTGAGCTGGGGTAAAAGGCAAACATAGCCAGAAAATGTCAGCTAGGATTCCTCAGCCCCTTCTCTTCTTTCTTGACCACTTCTGCGATAAACATGTCTTAAATAGACCCCTGTGTCCTCTAGTCTCCCAGGTAATTCTTGCTGAGATTGCCCCTGCCAGGTCACATGCTGCCTTTGTCTTCAGGTACCCTAGAGAATGCTATCCTAGTAGGCTCTGTGGAACAGAATGGGTGGCAGAAACCTTGGCCTTAGCCTGTTTTCTTCTCCAAGAGAAAGCATGCTTAGCAACCCTGGCTTGTGTGTACCCACAGACCCGACAGTTGGTGACTGTCTGTGACTGTAAGCTGCTGGCCAACTCCATCCATGGTTTGAACGCAGCACGGCCTGACTACATCGCTTCCAAGGCCTCCCCTACCTCTACTGAGGAGGAACAGGTGATGCTCCGGAATGACCAGGACACCCTCATGGCCAGGTGGGCAGGGAGGAGCAGCCGATCTTCCCTGCAGGTGGACTGGCATGAGGAGGAGTGGGTGAGTCTGCTGCCCCTGCCTGTGGCCCTGCTGTTGAACTCTATATAGAACTGCTGCCTGTGTCTTCCCTCACAAAGTGCCTAAAAGGCCAGCTCCTTTGTTGGCGAGCTCCAAGTCTGCTTCCCTGATGGCTCTAGGCCTCTTGATACTGAGATGTAGACTATTTCTAGACCATAGAGGGTGTAAATTGTTCGTAATTGCGCTGGGAGCCTGGACTCTCTCTCCTCAGCCTTTTGCTCACCTTATGCCCGTTAGGGCTCTTTGTGTCCAGATGTAGGCACTCGGGTGCTCAGGCTCCTACTGCCCCTGACATGTCACTTTATTGTCCCAGAGGTGGCCAGAGGACTGGCTCCTTGTCTCTTTAGGAGGGGACTCATGCTACAACTTGTCATTGTTGGGGCTTCTGCTCAGAGGGATCCTGTGAAGCACTGAATTATTAATCAGCAGCAAAGTGTTCCTCCAGCCCGGGCATCCTGTGGTCTATGTGGGTTTCTGCAGCTCATTTCAGCCTGCCCTCTCCTCCTCCCAACTCCCCACCCCTGCCACCAGCTGTTTCCACTCCTGTCCATCAGGAGACCTCAGTGTGTGGAGATTATAGGTGGCCTGCAGTGGAAGGAGGCCATATAGGAGCTCTTAGTGCCTGTGGCCTGTTGGCTGAGACTGGAAGGCTGTCTGTCTTCCTTAGAGTTGGCAGCCAATGTCTGCCAAGCTTTTAAGTCAGTGACCACAGGCAGCAAATTGTCTTTGAAAAACAAATCTGTTTTGAATGGCGATTTAGACATCATCAGGCTGGGTCTAGGGGAGAGATGAGGGTAGGCTGTGTTTTGTTCTTGTTTTTCTGTTGCTCAAATTGACCCAGACAATCTTCTTGGTTTTCAGGAGAAAGTGTGGCTGAATGTGGACAAGAGCCTGGAGTGCATCATCCAGCGGGTGGACAAGCTGCTGCAGAAGGAGCGTCTTCATGAGGAGGGCTGTGAGGACGTTTTCCCCTGTTCAGGCACCTGCTCCAGCAAGAAAGGTAACCGGGACAGCCAAGCCTACTGGATCAGACCGGAGGACCCCTTCTGTGACGCCCCCTCCTCGACATGCCCCTCCTCCATGCCCACTGCTGCATGCCGTCCTCACCCAAGCACACGTGCGTATGCATCCACGCTGCCCATGCTGCCTCGACTTGTGCCTCATCACGTCCGTGTGTCCGTGTCTCTGATTCCATGCCCGCCTCCTGCAAGCAGATTACAGGGGAAGGCTGTCAGGCTACGTAGGGTGTCTAGGGGAGTCCACCAGCAGATAGGCAGGGTGGAGGTTCCTGTTGTCTTTCCATGCAGCTGGAGCCCACTGAATCTGCATCGCCACCATGGGCAGATTTGTGCCCTCCTGGGCCACAGTGTCATGGCTGTAAAGTCTTTTCAGGTTTGTAAGCCAACCTGAAAGCCTGATGGGGGCTGGATGCAGATGTCTCTGTGGTGTTATTTTTGTTGTGTTGGAATGGATAGACTGATATAAAAAAAAAAAAGTGAGCTTTGTAGGAACGATGCTGGATGAGGGTGCTTGCAGCCTCACAGGCTCTTCTCATGGGCTGGAATACTCTTATCCAGAAGAAATAGGTTGCTGAAGGTCTCAGTCAGATGGCAGGGAAGTTAGAGTGACCTGTTTGACCCCACTCTTAGAGGGGGACCTTGAGTGGAGAGCACACTTGACAAAGGGACACAAGGAGTATTGAGTACTGCCCTCAAGACAGCTTGAAGGCTGAGGACTGATGTGTCTACAAACAAGTGGATCCTTGTCCCTCCTCTTTCATGCCTCTCACCTTTTCTTTTGTAAGAGCTGAAGAAAACTTGGGTCAAGTCATCTGAGCCCTGGCTGCATACCAGCTTCTGCCTTTTCTTCCCTCTCCTTGGGGAACTTTAAACTGCAGTAAGGACACCCAAAATGTGCAGGGTTAGGGTTCGTGTGAAGAGGACTCTGAAATTCTCGCTTGACAGTGGCCATCGAAGGCAGAATCATGCGCCTTTGCCAGAGTTCCCCAGACATCCTTCATGCGTTGCGTGTCCTGTGCCTCCCGTCTGTCTACATTGTGTCTAGGGCACTGTCCTACTTGAGGCTCTGTCTCAGCAGTGTCCACGTCATCTACTTTTCTGTCTTGGGGGATTACAGCTGTCACCTTTCCAAGCCTGTGACTGATCATCGAACTAGTTTGTGTCTGTTTTGTTCTCATTTTCCTGTTTATTTTTTTCCCCTCAAAGTTCATTACTTACTTCTCTTTAATCTTAACTTGTCTGTAGGACTGAGGATATAGTTATGTGGTAGATCCCCTGCCTACTGTGTATGAATGAGGCCACTTCAGGACTGAAGAAGAAATGTATATGATTTTGTTTGTAACTGTAAATAGTTTCTGCAGATAAGGAGGAAAAATAATGAGATGGTTTAGAATTTAGGAGCTAGTGTGCTGTGTGATCAGACTGTCTGTCTTTGTGTCTCACTTGTCTGTGGTTCTTGTCCTAGTTAAGTTTCTACTGCTGTAATAAAGACCATGACCAAAAGCATCTCGGGGAAGAAAAGGTTTATTTGAGCTTAGAGCTTCTAGTCTGTCATCCAGGGAAGTCATGGCAGGAACTCATGCAGAGACCATGGAGGAACACTCCTTGCTGACTTGCTCAGCCTGCTTTCTTATACAGCCCAGGGGTGCTACCACCCAGAGTGGACTGGGCCCTCCCACATCAGTCCCTAATTAAGAACTCATGAGCTTGTCGACAGGCCAGCCTGGTGGGAACATTTTCTCAACAGCTGAATTGTTAGCCTGGGAGCTGTGTACACCCCAGCCTCGTGTAACCCTAAGATCACATACTGAATTGTTAGCCTGGGAGCTGCGTACACCACAGCCTCTTGCATTCCTGAGAGCATGTGCTGAAGTTTGCCAATGAATAGGGAGAAAGTCCCTCGTGGTCATCAAATCTCAAAGGTCTCCATGACCTAAGATCAGCTAGGGGCCACTGCTCCGAGAGCATCCAAGGGTCCTCTTTTCTCCCCTGGGGCTGGAAAGTATGTTTACCAAATGGAATTGTCCCCTAGTAAACTACTGCCAGAGTGGTCCCACCCCCTCCCCTAGATGAGCACAGGTATTTATAAAGCAGGCTCCTAGACTCTCTCTCTCATTCATGACTCAGAGTCCTAGAGGAGAGGTTATGGCATGGTAAAAGTAAACAAACATAAAAACACATAGTTTTTCAAGGCTTGGGATAGTTCTCATTAGCCAGGTAGAGGCTAAAAATCTCTGGCCGCATTATTTCACGCCCTTGAGTGTTCCTGGTCTCAGGGTATGAGTTCTGACCAAAGAGGCCGAGCTCTTCAACTTACAGAAAGTCTTACATTTTCTTTTCCTCTCATCAGTTTATGAAGTCATATCCAAACACAGCGGAGGAGGGACCCATACTCAGTCCCTACTGACATCCCCTAAAGTGCATCCTGGCTAGTCCTGGGAATCTGAAACCTTCTCATGTCGGTTTCCCACAGACATCCTTTGAACCAAAGTTCAGACACAAAATGAAATCCATTTTTACTCTTTTGATGCCTTTTCAAACTGCCTTTTCTCAGATGGCAAATCCATTTAACTAAGAATTTTACCATTTTTGAAGGGAAATGTGAAATTGAAATGAGTACATCCCAGTAAGACTCAACAAAATTAGAATTGGAATCAAAATTGGTATTCTTTGAAGACCGTGAAGGACAGCCCAACTGGAGGGACAGCCCAGCTGGAGGGACAGCCCAGCTGGAGGGACAGCGCAGCTGGAGGGACAGCCCAGCTGGAGGGACAGCGCAGCTGGAGGGACAGCCCAGCTGGAGGGACAGCCCAGCTGGAGGAGGACAGTCTAGAAGAAGGGCAGCTCAGCCGGAGGGACAGCCCAGCTGGAGGGATAGCCCAGCTGGAGGGGGACAGTCTAGAAGAAGGGCAGCTCAGCCGGAGGGACAGCCCAGCTGGAGGGACAGCCCAGCTGGAGGGACAGCCCAGCTGGAGGGGGACAGTCTAGAGGAAGGGCAGCCCAGCCGGAGGGACAGCCCAGCTGGAGGGACAGCCCAGCTGGAGGGACAGCCCAGCTGGAGGGACAGCCCAGCTGGAGGGGGACAGTCTAGAGGAAGGGCAGCCCAGCCGGAGGGATGGCCTAAGTGGAGGAGTTTTCTAATTGGAGCCATCTTCCAACCACACAACGTTTACATTTAGTTGGTTGGGTTTTAAAGACTGGTATAATGTTCTTTCGGCATACTGGTTTATCATTGGGCCTTAGCAGTTTGGAGCACAGCAGTAGATCTTGAACTCTGGATTCCCCAGTGAGTCAGGGCAGTGGGCTCCAGCGTTGACATGCAGACTTGCTTGGTCAGTTTGTCTCATTTGATGTTGTAAGCTAACATGGGCTCCATCACTGCACCGTCATCAGTGTGGCATCTGTGGCATTGTGTGTGTTGGTTCACTCACCTTGAAGAACATTTTATGTTGAAGTGTTAGCAACATGGATGTTGACTCCGGTGAATCAGAGTTGTTCACCACTGAGAGGGCTCAGCTGCTCACAGCGGCAGGCATGCCCTTGGGAAGCTGAGTAAGAGGCCCCTGAGCCCAGGCCTCTTCTCTGAGATTGAGTTGCTCGTGTTTGAACTGTGTGCTGCTCCTTAATCATCCCTGTTGCCCTCCATTTCTGTGCAGATTGCAGCCCCCCTCCTGAAGAGTCCAGTCCAGGTACGTGGTTTCCGCTCAAGGCTCCTGCTGGTGTCCTTTAAATATTCAGGTAGTGCTTGTAGCTCAATTATCTAAGATTGTTTTGTGTTGGGAAAATACCTTAGGACTTCCTTTGTTTTGAGGCTTGGTAAGGGACCAGTGGGACTGAAGGAATTATGGCCTGAAACAGGAAGCTAGGCACATTGTGTTTTTCCTTCTGCGTCCTAAAGCCTTTTCAAGTGATTTACCTCTGAGTGCACTGGGTCCTGAGGTAGGTGATCTGATTTAGAAAGCTACATGTTTGTGAATATTTCTTGTACATTCACCTGAGCTTTTGCACATAGCTCTGAAGGCGCAGTTGGATGGTTTGTATCCTCTGGGGATGTGGTAGTGTAGCATCCTCTGCTCAGCTTCTGGATGCAGCTTTAGAACTCCCACCAGACATCAGTCCACGCTTGGGTTGGGATTACTGCTAAAAATGAAATCTTTCTGCTACCTTTTTATGGAGAACCTAATGTCCCTGGTTCTAGCTCAGGGGTTGGCGAACAATAGTCTTGAACTAAATCCTGGCCTTAGCCTGCATGTGTAACAGTTTATTGTCTGTCACCTGGTGTTCTGAGTTAGTGCAGCAGAGACTCTTTGCCCTCCTCATCTATGAAGACTCTGTTGTGTAGGGTGTGCCAACCCTTGATCTAGTTCCTAATGAGCTCCCTGTATTTGACTTGTGGTTTTCTCACAGTATGCATGCGCCTCTCTTCGCCCAAACCGTTTTTTACTCTTAAAAAATTATCTGCATGATCAGTCCAATCATTTCCTATTTGTGAGTAGATATGAGGTGGAAAAACACCTGCTTTATATCTAGGGTACAGCAGACAATGGGCACAGGATTTATAGAGCCAGTTCTGCCCACTGACAGCGTCCTGAGTCCACTTATTGTGGCCACCTGGCAGCAGTCCCAGAGCCTCACTGAAGTAGTATCTACCTGGGCTCGTCACACCTTCCCAGTTTGTTCTCCGTCCCTTTTATAGTTCTCTCTCCCCAAATGTCCGGTGCTGCAGCCTTGAGTGGGTCTTAGATCCCAGTATCAGATAAACCCTCAGGGTCATGAGCCTTAGTAGATGCACAGCTAACCTTGTACTGTACTTGCCTGCAAGTCTGGGACCATGGCCAGGAGTGAGGACCAGAAGGGGTGGCCTGTGAGCCTATGGCAGGAGCTCAGGGGCTCCTCTCCACTCTGGTTTCTGCCTGGCTTATAGAACTCTTCTGCTACTTGGGAAATACTGGTGGCTTTTCCACAGCTGATGTTAAGTGGACAGAAATGGTTCCCTGCCAGGAGTCCTGTACTGCATATTTAGTCTCTGCTAACACACACAATCCAGAGGTAAAGAGATTGCTTGGTGGGGAAAGTGCTTGCTGTGTACTCATGAGGATCTGACTTCAGAGTCCCCAGCACCCAAGTGAAAAGCCAGGAGTGGCAGAGCATACCAGTAATCCCAGCACTGGGGAGGGAGGTGGAGACAGCAAGCCAGAGCTTGCTGGCTGGCCAGGAGGTTAGCCGGTTGGTGAGCATCAGGTTCACTGAGAGGCCCTATCTCAAAAAGTAAGATGGGAGAGACAGACACGTACACCAGACAACAACGTCTAGTCTTCACATGTGCATCTACGGGTTCACACCTACACATGAGCAGACGCATGCATATACTACATATACATAAAGTCACAAACATACAGACACACATACACTGTCTCTCATTCCCTGTTCATACTGATGAGTTAGTTAATTTAAAAAAACAAACCAAAAGCAGACTGTAGATTGGAAGAGCACTTGACATTATCCAAAGTGGTATGGAACATGGGCTGTCGAGGCAGCAAGCATGCATCACTGGTTAGCAGGTAGCTAAGGAGTTTACCCCGTCCCCAGAAGCCAAACAGCCACAGCACTTGGGACATTACTTAGTCTACCTGATTTTAAAGAAATAATAATAATAAAGTAGTAAACTATTCTCTTTAGTTTTGAGGTAGCAAAAAGTTTTGAAAACTCTTTACCATCTTCCAGACATTTTTATTTGACAGGACTGGGTAGATACCATGTGCTGCCATTTAAATTAGTTTGGCTTGGGATCTTTTTAAATTGTGAGTTTCTATTCATACTCAAAACACCTACTACCCTCTAGCTCCTGCTGTCTCCTTGGCATAAGCAAGCTGGCTGCTACAGATAATGGCTTGAGAGTCAGTCATACAGGTGCCCGTTCTTAGAAGGGTTCTTAGCCTCTGTGTGGGTATGATGAGAAGGCTATCAGAAACGCTGGACATGGTGGCTGGTGGCCTTGTCGGATACCGTCTGCCAAGATGTCATACTCACCCCCTTACAGTGTCATGTCACCCGTTTTCCAAGACAAGTCTTGTACTGCCCTTTAGCCATTTCTTCTCTACCTTCTTTTCTAGTTTAGCAAATCAGTCATTCTTCTATGAGTTTCATTTCTGAAAAAAATGACTAAAGTGAAAAATTCATATTGGGGAAACTTGGCTTAGTTAAAACAACTTAATACTTTGATTATTTTCAGGTTAAAATGACCATGGTTATCTTATGAATTGTCTATGTATAAGAATTGGAAAAGCAAAGTAAAAATGACTGCATTTGATCTAAGCATTTCAATTCTTGCTGAAGAGCAATATTTGGGGGACAGAGGGAGCTTGTTTGTTGTTGTTTTGTTTTTGCTTTTTGAGGTTGGATATTAGTATATAGTCCAGGCTAGCCGTGAACTTGTCATCCTCCTGCCTCAGCCTCCCAGGCCCTGGGATTATAGGCATGCCCTACCATACCTGGCTTATGAAGAAAATTTTTACTGATTACTGTTCTTAAGTGTCTTGCTCTACTCCCTGGTTTTCATTGGCCATTTTAGATAGACTGTTGACAGAGTTCTTCAGAGAAACCAGAAATTGGAACTTGGTGTCTGAGGAGTTCAGAGGGAGAGTGAGGTCTGGGAGTCTATCTAGTGCTTCTCTCTTATTTCCCAAAAAGGTATCACATGGCTGAGGGGTCCAGGGCCTTGCCTGTGTTCCCCACTGCTCAGCTGCCAGGCCTGGAACTCATATTTTCCACTTCTCAGTCCAGTGTTCTTTGTCACTGTGTCATATTTGCTAAGACCTTTCTGCTAAATTTAAGCTTTTTTTCCATTACAGACATAACCCTGTCCACATGCAGTGTGCATATCCATTTAGATTACTTCCAACCCTGGACTGTTCTGTGTACTGAGTCCACACTGGCCTGTCACTGAGTGTGGGCAAGTTCCTCCACACATCCTTGGAGTTAAAGTGCTAGCCAGGTGGTGAACGGGCAGGGCAGGTCTCCCTTCTCCGGTGTGTGTAAAAGACGGAGTCTCCCTCCGGGTGCAGCTGCTGGTCTGAGGCTCTGCCACCTGCACTCCATCCCTTGGGATGTCCACTGCTGTGCGCTGCTTTGGAGTGCGGCTTCACCCAGTAGGGATGTGCTGGTGCCTGGTTTTGGATGTGACGTGTCTTTTTGATGTCTTTCCAAAAGGAAGGAAACAAAGGCAGCCGCAGAGCTGCCCCTAACCTTGCTCTTCCCCTCCGAGGTTCTATTTATAAAGGGCTGTTTTGGTGCAGGGTCAGAGTCCCCTTACATTTCTGAAAGAAAACTAAGCTGGAACGGTGGGTCCAGAGGGGTGGCAGGAGCAGAGCTGGCACTTGGCTGTGAGAAGGGCCATGGCATGCCCCTGTCTGTGGGCATTCCCTCATGCTGTGGAATGAGATTGGCTCTTCTTGCACACAGAATCTGACTGTGGCCGTGTCATGACCTGCAGAAGCTTCCTTTCTTATTGTTTTCCTCAACTACCATAGTCTTGACTATTGAGTAAGGGGTCACTAGTGGTTTTAGGGTGTCTGGTGTATGTGGATGACACCAGAGTAGAACTGCTTCAGCTTACCGCAACAGTGCAGACAGAGGGACAGAGCAGATTATGCTGGGAAGAACTTAGTGCTACTTTTCCAGGCCGTGTGGTGGGGCAAGTAGGCTGAGAAGGTAGAGAGGGGCTGAGGGGCCAGAGAGGATGGGGAGGGGTAGGGAGCTTGCTGCTTTAAATGACCTCCTGGAAGCCTTTCTTTCTAATTCTAACATGCCCTTCACTCGTGCACAGGTGAGTGGAGTGAGGCCCTTTATCCTCTGCTGACCACCCTCACAGACTGTGTGGCCATGATGAGCGACAAAGCCAAGAAGGCCATGGTCTTCCTGCTCATGCAGGACAGTGCCCCCACCATTGCCTCATACCTGAGCCTGCAGTACCGCCGTGACGTCGTCTTCTGCCAAACCGTAAGCCCCAGAGGAAATAAGGGAAGTCATGGGCACCTTCTACCATAGAGAAAACAGACTCAGGCCCCCTGCCCTTCCACCTTTACTTGTGGAAACCACAGGTGGCCTTGTTTCCCCAACCTGTTGCTTTTGTGCTCACTTAGTAGAGCAGCACAGGAAGCAGACAACTTACTGACAACTGTTTGTCCTCCTGAAGAGCTAGCTCTGACAGGAGAGCCCAGTGCCAAGAGGCAATGGCAAAGGCCTCTTTGTTGCCTTCTTCTTTTTTTCTCTAAGGGATGTGACCGAGGGCCACATGGGTGCTCGTCAGTGCAGTTGGAAGGGCAGGCACTCAAGTTCTGTGGCTTGTCACAGGGCTCCATCTAAAGATTTCAGTTACCATTCACTGGAGAGGTGAGATGACTCTCCCAAGTTGAAAGATGCCAGCAATGGAACTAATGATGTCAGTAGCTTGGTAGGGGGCTGGTGCTCTGTACTTCCCCCACTGATGCTGAGAAGCCTGTTTGATGCCACAGAAAACCCCCCTAAGGAAACTAGGTAGCTACATTCACTCTTCTTTCCAGGGTTGGTGTGGTTCTGAATAGATAGCCCTTTCCCTATGGGGAATTGATTCTAAGCTTCCAGAAAGTTTCAGTTCAGGAACACCCCCAAGCAGGTCATGTCGGAAGCTGAGCCCAAACCAAGCCCACCTTTGACAGGTGTTGCAAGATTATGGTGTTTAGCACCCTCACCATAGCCTTTGATTACTGTGGTCCCAGTCCCTAGCTCTTCCCTGAGGGGTAAGAGATGCTGCTGATGTTCCTGGAGCAATGGAAACAAAGGGACCAGGGCATGTGCTAGCTTCTGCTTGGGGTAAGAATGCCTGTTCTACACACTGTTCCTGTGCCTCCCCACAGCTGACAGCCCTCATCTGCGGCTTTATCATCAAGCTGAGGAACTGCCTGCACGATGATGGCTTCCTGCGGCAGCTCTATACCATCGGACTGCTGGCCCAGTTTGAAAGCCTCCTGAGCACCTATGGTGAGACCCCAGCTTGGCCTAGGGCCACAAAGGTGGTTCCATTTGTGCCTCTACCCCTTCTTTCCAAATTTCAATGAGTCCAAACATCACCAGTATAGAAAACAAAAACCAGGTGATAATCCTGCAGTTCTGTATATTCCTCTTGGTTTGCAGGGGTGATGTTAAAAATATCTTGATGGTCTTCCTAGTGAACATGGATGATAATTTGGGTTTCTTCTGAATTGCTCCCATCACTGCTCTCTGGTGCAGTGATAGCTGTACACTGAAGACATTGTAATTCTATGAGCTCCTTTCTCTAGCTGAGAAGAAAAGTTGCTGGGTCAAGGGGAAGGAGTGGGCAGAAACTTAAAGCTGATTCCATATTGCCCCCCAGACCTGCTTTCCATTTATTTCTTCCAAGAAGATGAAAATGGACTATGTGACAAAAGTATTTTTTTCATTTTGGGATTATAGGGTTTTTTTATTATTATTACTATTTCTTCTTTCTTATACTAACCCCGAAATTTGCCCTCCTTCCTTTCCTCCTGGTTCCTTCCCACTCCCTTCTCTCTCCTCCCAATTCACTTCTCCATTTCACTTCAGAAAAGGGCAGGCCTCCCAGGGATATCAATCAAATATGACATATCAGGTTGCAGTAAGAGTAGGCCCCTCCCCCACATAGTTAATCTGTATGGGTCAACCCAGTTGGAGGAAAAGAGTTCCAAAAACAGGCAAAAGAGTCAGGGATAGCTCCTGCTCCCACCGTTGGGAGTTCTACAAGAAGACCAAATTACACAACCATAGCATAAATGCAGAGGAACTAGGCAGACCCAAACAGACTCCCTGGTTGCTGGTTCAGGCTCTGTGGGCCCCTATGAGCCCTGTTTGGTTGATTCTGTGGTCTGTGTTCTTGTGGTATCCTTGACCCCTCTGGCTCCTCCCCCTTTGCCACGGGATTCCCTGAGTTCCACCTAATGTTTGGCTGTGGGTCTCTGCATCTGTTTTCATCAATTGCTGGATGAAGCCTCTCTGATGACAATTGGGCTCAGCATCAATCTATTAAAGAATCATTTCACTGTTGTTGATCATAGTGTTTTTGTTTTTGTTTTTTTTTTACAAGTCAAGTTTGGTTCTATCCTAGGTCTCTGGGTCATCCAGCCTCTGGGTCCTGGCCCTCCAGACAGTGTCAGGTGTAGGCTTCCTCCTATGGCATGGGTCCAGCTGGACCAGTCATTGGTTGATCACTCCCACAATTTCTGCACCACCCAGTACATCTTGTAGGCAGATTTGTAGGTCAAAGATTTTGTGGCTGGGTTGGTGCTCCAGTCCCTCCACTGGAAGTCTTTCCTGGTTTTAGGAGATGGGCATATCCATATTCAGACACCATATCCCCCATTACTAGGAGTCTTAGCGAGGGTCACACTTACAGATTCCAGGGAGTTTCCACTGCACTAAGTGTTTACCTTGTCTGCAAAATTCCCAATTCTAGTTGTCTCTCCCAGAACTCTCTCTCCCCATCCTCCCCAAACTGATCCCTTTTGTTCTTGGCCACCTGAGATATTTCTTCTATTTCTCCTCTGGAAGATCCATGCGTCCCTCCCTTGAGCCTTCCTTGTTCTTGTGCCAGTGTATTCAAGGCTGTTCCCCATTTTCTCTTCTACCAGGTTCAGTGTATCTGGTTTTATGTTGGGGTCTTTGATCCACTTGATTTTTGTGCAGAGTGATAAATATTAATCTATTTGCATTCTTCTTCTTCTATAGCCATATCACCCTGAATACACCCAGTCTCACCAGATTATGGGTTTTTGATGAGGTATCCAGCCATTGCTGGTGGACAAATTTGCCACAGCAAAGCAGTTTTACTGTTTTTCTTCTCATCCTTGAAGAGCTGGCATGGCTTTTTGAGATTCCATGCACAAAAAGTTTGAGAAGGATGGAGTCCAATCCCCCACCTACATTTGCAATGTTGTTATGTGGTCAATAGCGGATTCTCTCAGGGAGCACTGTGTCGGGAATGGGGCTCAGAGAGTGCCTCCCATCCATGCCCTTAACCCTCTGCTCACAACTGCCCTGGGAGAGTAGCAGGCCTTGACATCACCCTTCTCTCTTATCAACTCCTCTCAGGAGAGGAGTTGGCCATGTTGGAGGACATGAGCCTTGGAATCATGGACTTGAGGAACGTGACCTTTAAAGTCACCCAGGCCACTTCGAACACATCAACTGACATGCTGCCAGTCATCACAGGAAACCGGTAAACAATCATGTGTTAAATACTCCAGTCAACAGCAGTGTGGTTAATTTGTGTGTGTCTCAGGACACAGGACATAGTCTGCCTTGCACTTTGCTTTGCTTTTATTTCATTTTATTTATTTTTTATTCTATTTTACTCTTTTAAAACATGGCATACAGTCTTCCCCCTACCCATGTCAATTTCATAATTTCTCCTTAAAGGTGTGGGTGGGTACTTGAGCCACACTGGCCAGAGTCTAACCCATGGCTCTGGAGTATGCTTTGGGTCTGTCCCCTACTCTCAGTGTCCTACCTCACCCCTACTTTTCCTCTCTTTTCTAGTGATGGCTTTAATGTGCGAATCCCCCTGCCAGGACCACTGTTTGACTCCCTGCCCCGAGAGATCCAGAGTGGCATGCTGCTGCGGGTGCAGCCAGTCCTCTTCAACGTGGGCATCAATGAGCAACAGACTCTGGCTGAGAGGTGTGTGCCATTCTCCTGGTGCCTTTGCAGCTGGGTGTTTAGTATCCGTGGAGCTGTGGGTGTGGGCTCACCTCAGCTTGGGAAATACACAGTGGTTGCTGGGAGATGTTGTACGACTTTTAGTAGAACAGGGCATGATCAGATGTGCATGCTAATTAGGTCATATTGCTGCCCATGGGTAGAGAGGAGTCAAGGGAAACATGAGATCGTTGCTGAAGAGACTGGACCATAGGGCAATGCCATGGATCTGAAAGGTAGAGCATGGTGTAGTGTTCTGAGAAGGGGAATCAGTAGACTGAGGTCCTAGGCTTCTAGATTAGACATGTGAGTTGGTGCCTTCTCTGAGCAGGACAATGGGGAAGGCTGTGTTTTGAGCAGATGGTGCCTGGGCCCAGGCTGAAGCACCAGCATAGGAAACAGAGCTCTCCCAAGGCAAGAGCTAGAAGAATCTAGTTTGAAGAGAGTGGGCCTTTTGTGGGAGCTACAGCTGAAGATGTCCCAGGAGAGAGAGTGACGTTCCCTGCATCCAGCTGCTGTTAGGCAGTTTCTGGAAAGGACTGAGACAAGTCCAGGTGCAGTGAGCAGACGGGGTAGAGGAGGGGAATGTGCATGTTGGGTGGAGTCGAGGAGGGGGCAGCTTTGGCTTGGTTTGCTTGCTTGCTCCGGCAGCACACTTGTAAGTTTGTTTTGCTTCTGAGATGAAGGGAGACTGCACAGAATGGAAAGATGCCTCCTTCCCCAAGGGATGGCTGCCATATGCCTGCTAGACACAAGTGTGGGTACCAGGGTGAACTGTCTGAGGCTAATGCTGGTATGGCATGGGGCAGAGGGGTGGTGGACTACGCTCAGGGCTCAGATTGCACAACTGCAGGGCTCTTCTCCCTCCCCCTCCCTCTTCCTTTTAACTATTTACCACCTTCCTTGCAGGTAGCATCCATTGCTTACCTCATGTATTTGGTATAGTCATTCTTGCAACATGTAGTGGGCGTAGGTCAAACCCACTTGAAGAGGAAAGAGCAAAGGCCCCAGCCCAGCCCAGAGGGACAGTTAGCATTCACACAGCAGAGGGTGACTTCAGATCCCAGCATAATCTCCTTATTCCTGGTTCTCCCATTGCTGTACTCTTTCCTGGGTGCCTTTGAGGCAGGAAGACATGAGGACTGTAAGCTGAGAGCCTATGACACTCAATGGACCTTCTAGTCTCTGAGCCTCATGCTTTTGGCCACTTTTTGTTGCTGTGACAAAATACCTATAAAAAGATTTAAAACTTAAGAAGTAAAGGTTTATTTTGGCTGTGGTTGCTGGTTCCATTGCTCCTCAGCCTGTGCATGGCAAGACTGGAGATCATGGAGTAGAGCTCATATGGTGGGCAGAGTAGCTCAGCCCATGTGCCTGAGACAGGAAGGGTCAGAAGACAAGGCTGACCCTTCCAAGACATGCCCAGTGTCTGCTTCCTCCAACTAGGCCCTAGCTCCTAATAAAGCATTTCCTGGAAACTTAGCAGTGAGTCATCAAGATTCAGTCACTCTCGCTGGTGCCCAGAGCCCAAGCCTTCCATATGTGAACTTGCATGGGGAGACTGCTTACCAAACTGCAGCAAGCGCGGATGCTGAACCAGTGTCCTCTTAGGCACATCACTCTTAGGCGTACCTGTAGTGAGTTACAGTAGCTTCTGCTTGTGAAATCTGTCTCCAGTGCTGTAGGGATGGCTTCATCCTCAGGAAGGAGAAAGAGACTTGGGGTTTGGACTTTAGGTTTTCTGCTTGGGAGAATCAATCCTCATAGATTTCTTGTAGCTTTCAGTTTGTTAGAGGAAGATGGTATGGCCTTTCTGCTGATGTCTGATTCTCTCCAAGGTTTGGAGACACATCCTTACAAGAAGTCATCAACATAGAAAGTTTGGTGCGGTTAAATTCCTACTTTGAGCAGTTCAAGGAGGTTTTGCCGGAGGACTGTGAGTATTCCTTCACTCATGACAGGTTCTCCACTGCTTGATTGGTCTTCATTTTAGATGCTTGAGCTCCAGCCCTCTGCTCTCTGGTCTGAATGCTGCCTAGTGCATTCTACTGCAGCAGTGTGACATCCATGTGTGTGCACAGAGCCTACATGGATAGATTCTCCACCCTCTCATATGTACATGGCATCCCGTTCATCTGGCTTGCGTCCCACCAGAAAAGCTTCCCCAGTGCTGCAGTCCCTGCTTCCCTCTTCTGCAGCTGCTGCTCTTCTGCCATATATGGCATAGCATCTTCTGCCACCATGTTCTGCTTCTCACTGGTTCTTGCTGTGGAAGACTGTGTGCATCTTCTGGGAGCACCAGGGGTTCTTGGAGGCAGTCCAGGGGTTCTGCATGAGCTATTTGTGAGTTTCTGTCCCTAGCAGAAAAGACACTTCATATGAGTGTTCATGGGCAGGATGACCCTGCCATAGTCCCCCAGAGCAGTGGAATTCCATGATGTACTCATGTATGGTTCTCTTTTCTCCATGTGAGGACATGTCAGAGAGGGTTCAGACAGCCACAGTACTCAGGAAGCCCAGCGTTGCTCAGTATTTACTGGGGATATAAGCAGGCTTCCCTCGCATTCTTTTAGAAGGTGACAGGGACCCTAGACTTGAGACGTGATGATGAGACAACAGTGTGAGAGCATTGCAGGGTCTGATGAGCCAGGCACCAGGCCAGTGCCCTGCACACTGTCCCATGTGCACTGTTTTGAGCCATAAGGAGTCAACGTTAGTCTATGTGTCCAGGGAAAGGAAAGGTTGCCTGAAACCTATATTCGTAGTCAGTTAAGAAGGACCCAGGAGAAGACATTGGCATTCATTTGGCTGTGCTCATTTGGGAAACAGGAAGAAGCTGCCTCTGCTTGGGCTCCCTAGTGTGCTGGTTAGACTAGAGGAGGGGACACTGACCCTCACCTGCTGCTGATATGGCATGGTCAGGGGAGGAGGCACACTGTAAGGTTCTGACTGAAGCCCTCAAGCCATCAGTCTGAGAACTTTAAGCATATTGGCCGTAAGCATATGGATCCTTTCATAGTGTTTTAGTCAGGGGTTCTGTTGCTGTGATAAAACACCATGACCGAAAACAGCTTGGGGAAAAAGGGTTGTTTCAGCTTACACTTCCACATCATAATCCACCATCAAAGGAAGTTAGGGTAGGCCCTCAAGGCAGGAACCTGGAGACAGGAGGCAATGCAGAAGCCACGGAGGAGGAGCCTACTGTTCCCCATGACTTGCTCACCCTGCTTTCTTATAGAATTCAGCCAGGGGTGACCACTAGCCAGGGGTGAAATCACCCATAGTGGGGTGGACCTCCCACATCAACATCAATAATCAGTAAGACACAGGCCAGCCTGGCAGAGGCATTTTCTCAATTGCGGTTCTCTCTTCCAAAACAACTCTGGCCGGTGTCATGTTGACATAAAATTCCCCAGTACCCCTCATAATACCTTCAGAAATGGTTGCCTTGTCTTTGATTTTTTTTTTCTGTCCCAGGTTTCTTGGGTGAAGCAATATGACATGGGGGTTGAAGAGGTCCTGCAAAGGCCTGGAAAATTCCATAGTGAAGAAGGGTTGCTGTTAGGATTAGTGGGGTTAGGGATCCCTGGTCCATTCAAAAATTCTTCCTTCAAGTGTGAGTTGTGGTCCCTCATAGAAGGCTGCCCTTGACGCTCCCAAGGTTTCTGTCCACTCCCTAGTCAAGACCCATTGTTCCAAGCACCCTGCATTCCTGATGTGGGTTTGGAAACCAGGCATCTCACCCTCACTTCTTGCTCACTTTGCCCCTTAGATGGGCAAGAGGCTTGGGTAATTATAGTTCCTCTGACATCCCCCTCTCCTGCCTCTTTGGAAAACCAACAAAAGATAAAAGCCACTGCCCTTTGATGGTGGCCATAATAGCTGTGGAGGAAATTCAAGGATCAGTATCCTGGTAGCCATATTCAAATCCGCAGTCACCTTCCTCCCATACCTGCTGTGAAGCAGGAAAATACTTCCTCAGCAGAAGTATCTTTGAATGGATCCCCTCTGCCATGGACTCCTCCTCTCTTCCAGGTCTACCTCGATCTCGGAGTCAGACCTGCCTGCCAGAGCTGCTGCGGTTTCTAGGACAGAACGTCCATGCACGCAAGAATAAGAATGTGGACATCCTCTGGCAAGCTGCTGAGGTACTTGTCATGGTGCAAAAGAGTTACGGTGCCCTTCCAACAGCCACCTTAGCAAAGACAGGCAGGTCAAAACCCCAGCCAGGGAGGAGAGCACAGATCCCTCCAACCACAGGACACAAGGAACGGTCCCTGCGTAGGTTCAGGGATGCTGGAAGACACTGAGCATCATTGCCCAGGTGTTTGTTCTTATTGGCTGCCTGCATTTCCACAAGAGACATGGGGTCTGTCTGATGTGTTGCCTCTTAAGAAGCCTGAACAGTCATTTAATCCCTGCTGACACTTTGTGAGGTTCATAGGGAGTCTGTGGCTACCTCTCAAAGCTCCTTATAGAATTCTTTTTTTTTTCCTTCTTCCTTTTTTCGGTTTCAGTTTTGGTTTTTTGGGACAGGGTTTCTCTGTGTAACTGCCCTGGCTGTCCTGGAACTTACTTTATAGACCAGACTGACCCCAACTCACAAAGATCCATCTGCCTCTGCATCCCAAGTGCTAGGAGTAAAGGCATGAGCCACCACTACCTGGCCCTTATACAATTCTTACTCTGCCTTGCCACTGAGACCTCACTGCCCCAGCACCTGCGCAGCTGGAATTTCCTCAGAACTTCAGCCACAGAACTCCAGATCTCCACTAAAAGCTGGGGTATCTGAACTCATCTTCCTCTCATATCACGGTAGTATGTCCTGGCCAATCCCAAGATGTGGGACTAATGGCAAACCCATGGCATTCTACCTCACTGCCTGGCCCGAGGAGGACCCGTGAGTGGCATGTGTCCCCTGGCTGGGTTATCCTGGGACCTCATTCCTTGGGCTGGATGTGCCAAGAAGGCCCAGGCATGACTTAGAAGGGATTGAAGGGATAGCTGATAAGGGCTAGTGCAAAACAGTGATGCCCAAAAGTCTCTAGAAGGAATGTCCCTTGAGAGAATATACAAGGGACAGTTCCCCTGAGGGATGGGGATGCAAGATGGGCAGAGATGAAGTCAGGCTCCTCAGGTAGCAGGGCCCTCCAAGAACTCATTTGGAGCTAACTTAGGTTCTGATACCAACTCAGCAGGACACAGAGTTGGGGAGCCAGGCAGTCAGACTAGGACTAGGCCTGAAGTTACTAGTGCTAGTGCTCCTGCCAGACCTGTGGAGTGCCACCTCCCCTTGAGGGTGTTGCCTTTCTGCTGGCTTTTCTCTCCTTAGAAGAATCCATTTTCTGTTGGCAGGTCTGTCGCCGCCTTAATGGGGTCCGATTCACCAGCTGCAAGAGTGCTAAGGACCGCACAGCCATGTCAGTGACGCTGGAGCAGTGCCTGATCCTGCAGCATGAGCACGGCATGGCCCCGCAGGTTTTCACACAAGCCCTGGAGTGCATGCGCAGGTGAGTGAGGGCTCCTGTCAGGCTGCACCTGCCCAGCCACCTGCGCTCCCTTTGCTGTGTAAACTGCAGATGAGCCCGTAACCCTGAGTTTGACCATTGCTCCAACTACTGACCCTGTCAAACTCAGGTGGTATTCTCTTAGAAGGCCAGGAGGACAGCCAGCACTCTTTGAACAGAACTGCGCTGACCCCAGAACGTGGTGGGTAGGCTGGGGATCAGACAGTTCAGTAAGGATGGGGAGCCACGCTTGCTCAGCAGGCAGCTGCTTTTACATAGTGTATGTGTGTGTTGTATACCCCCAATGCCAGTGAAGGAACCGTGTCTGCGGGTTGCACTGGTTTGCTCTGCTACCTCTCTAGTAGTGGACGAGTTTGCTCTCTTGAGCCGAATGCCCAGTGAATGTTTCATGGCGACAGCTGTCTGTGTCCCCTGGCCACCTCCCCCTAATGATGTCCTGATTCTGAGACAGCAGATGTGTTAGCAGAATGAAACCCAGAGTTCAGATTGTCCTCTGTTGATGGATGCCTTGTTTCAAGCACTGCTGGGAAGCTCCCTACCTCGCATACCAAAAGAAAGGATAAGAAACCTGGTTTTCCTGTCTCCTTTGATGTAGTCACCAATGCTGTTAAAGTCTTGTTTCCAACAGTCACTTCTACTGAATGTTCTGTATCATTTGTCCTCTCACCAAATTCTTTAAAGTGTTCAATTCTCTTATCCTTTCTATATGTTTCTGCCATTTGACCTTCTCACAATGCACAGAGTGATGCCCAAACTCATGCCTCTTGATAGCAGCACAAACGGCATCATTCCGTTCCTGTTTTGTCTCCAGGTTCATTTAAAACCCTCTGTAAATGTTCCTAGCACTCCATGCCTCTGTCCTCGGTAATGGAAAAGCCATGGAGTCTTGGAGTCACGACGGGTCTGTATTCAGAGTCTCGGTACCCTTTTAGCGTCTATACCCAATGTGATCCTGGTTCTGAGGGGAACAGCTATTCTGTGCCCCATTGTGCAGTAGGGGGAAAGGCTGATCTAGAGAACCACAGATGTCTACCACTGAGGAAGTGAGGATGACCCAGACAGCAAAGGCTGGCACCAGGGTCCTAGGGGCTACCTCCAATTGTGCCCCCCCCCCCCACTATATCCCAATAATAATGCAGTATATACTATGTCCCTATCAATAGATTAATCCGTTGGTAAAAGCAGAGTCCTCAGGTCCCAATTCCCTCTCAGTGGGGCCCACTAGCTGGGGCCCATATCTTCAGCAGGTGAGTTCTAATCTGTTTAGCAGCCACAAGCTCTTTAGCCAGCTTTACCTGTGCCTCATTCTGGGAAAATCTGAAAGTTTTCAAACCTTTTAGCTCTGCTTTTTGTTCCCAGTTCTTACCATTAATCTGGTCAGCAACACCCATACACCAGCTTGAATAATGGGCTGCTGGGACTCCTTCTGACAGATTATTTATACCGTCCACGGGACAAGGGCAAAATAGAGAAATTTTTTGCCAGAATGTAATGTGGATGGCCTCTAGTCTGGCTTCCAGTTGAGTCTGTTCCCATCTGAAAGAAACCTCATGAACAAAATCTTTACTTTCCCCATTTTGTTTGACATACTGGACATTTGAACCTCTGAGTTACCCCCTGAACTCTGCTTACAGCATCCTAAGGGTTTATAGGCTGTTTCTCCAGACTCTTCTGAGTTCCTCCTGCAAGCCAGTTCCAGAGGCTTCTGAGTCTGATGATCCAGTATAGTCACAGTACCCCACTTCTCCAATAACAAACGTGTATTGGTCAGTGTCCCATTGCAGTGACGGCACACTTGGGAAAGGAACAGAAGGGAGGAGGATTTGGTTCATAGTTGGAGAGGTTCAGCAAGTTTATTTCTTGACTGTGGTAAGGCAGAGTATCCTAGCCGAAGGGCATGGCAGCACATGGTTGCTCACTTCACAGTAAGCAGAACCCAAAGTGATAGAGACTGGACAAGATGCACCTTTTAAAGACACATACCTTTGCCCTTGCTCCAGTAAACGAGCTCCCATCCATGTTCTGGTCAGAAGCTCTAACTAAACTCAGTGAGCCACACACAAAGGAGCATGGAAGGAGGGGTGAGACTTGTCGAGAAGGGTTCCCACAGGAAGAGGGACGGGGTTGAATAAACGTGTGAAACTATCTCAGCAAATGTAAGATAACGTAAGGCTGTTGAGATGGCTCAGTGGGTAAAGGAGCTCGCCCCCAAGCGTGATGACCCAAGTTGATCACTGGGACCCACATGGTGAGAACCAACTCCTGCCGTCATATGTGCCCCCCCACATATGCGCCTGGCACATGCACAATGAATGTAATTTAAAAGATTTTAAAGACACATACTCTACTGTCCTACACCCTCCAACCAGGCCCCGTCTTCCACAGTTACCACCTCCCGATCTATTAGTTTACTAATGAAGGCCAAGCCCTTGCCAGCCACTTCACAGATTCCCGTCTTTTGAACACTGCTTGTACTGGAACCCACGACTCCATTAACACATTACCCTTTGGTGGAGGAACACGTCATAGCTAGACTGTAACATCACATTTGACACGTCATTCTTTAGGTTAATAGTCCCACGTCTTTGTAGAGCTCTAGCAGTTTGAATACAGGTTAGTAAGTTGCACTTGCTCAGTGTCCTGGAGTGTCATTCCTGTCACCATTGTCTGCTCAGAGGCCCTTGGGGTTGTTTTCTTTACTGTTTAAGGACCCCACAACCAACCGTGAGCAAAAAATGTCCTTCTTCCTAGGAAATGAGCATATTCCCTGCTCTCTTTCTCTGCCTCATTCAACCCACTCCCTCTCTGTAGCCACAGCATTTCCTAGGATCTAAAATCTCTACAGCAGGCATACTTTAGTTGAGTGATTATTTTCTACAGCCATTAATACAAAACAAAGCCTCTGCCTGTCCCACTAGCCTCAGCATAGCGACTGTGCTCGCCACTGCCCTCTGCTGACCCTGAATGCCCTGGGCCCTCGCTGCAGGCCTTTGTTCTCAGGTGACACAATTGCACCCAACTTCTGTTTTCCGGATTCGCCCATGTGGTGAAGACAGGTTCTGTTAGTTATCTGCAAGCCCTGTGGCTACAGTGGCAGCCAGCGCGGCAGCACACCGAGAGCCCTAACGAAGGCAGTGGTGGACCCCAGCAGTTTCATTGAGTACATGGTGCAATTGGCTCTCTTGCTTTCTCACAGTGTCTTGTCAGATGAGAGAGTAGAATGTACAGTGGGAACAGAGCTGATGTGCTGACTCTTGGAGGTATGTGCACACACACACGCACACACACAGGCACATAATGCATGTGGAAATAATAACAATAATAATTGATCTGTAGTGGTGCAAGATGAATTCTTGTACCAGGACCCATTTCAAGTCCCCAGTGTATAGGAACATGAGGTTGGGTCTAGATTCACATACTCAATTCCTGTAAGCCATGTGGGCTGAGCCTAGCACCCCTCTGGCTTTGTACTGAGGATAATGGCACAGGTAGAGGTGGCCTTCTATCCCATGTTAGGAACTGAAGTCCTCCTGGACACCCACAGTGACCCACCAGGAACCCTGGCAGACATTGCAATCATCCATCAGTGCTTGCCAGCTTGCACAGTGTCCCCCGTCAGAAAAGCCTGTTCCAGCAGGGCCAGTCCTGAGCTTAGGGCTTGCAAAAAGCCAGGCAGAACACAGCTGCAGGAGGCGTCTTGAGCCCCTGCCTACCCATCTGCAAGCTGTTCTTTTAGAGTGTCTGCCATGTCCTGAGACCAGAGTCCGGGTTAGTGCTGCTGTTTGCTAGCGAGGAAGGATGTGGTCCTCAACCATGTGGTTCTGGATACCATCCCACCTCAGTGTCCTTCACGTTTTTGGTACTGGATCTTGATCCCAGGACCTAGTGTCTTCTAGCATAGTTACCACTGAACTACACTCAGCCTCCAGAATACTCTTCCTTTAGGATTAAAATAAGGAAAAAATCCCAAATTTCCAATGTGAATTTGGTTGACTCGGTTTTGAGGGATCATCTAGAACAGTGTCTTACAGAGGTGGAGACAAGTTCGCTACACCCTTCACCACTCAAACTGAGACTTGAGGCAGGTCAGGGAGGACGCTGCCCTGGATTGACACCCAGGTAAATGAGTTGTGTCTGTGTGGCTGATCAAGAATCAGCTTCGTACCCACCACTGTTCTCCCCGTCACCTAGGCATCTGTGAGAAGGTCAAACCCCATGGTTCTTCATGTTCAGCTTGCTTCTCAGAAATGCCCGTCGCAGCATGTGGGGCATGACGGGCGGCATGGAGCTGTGCGTGGCCAGTTGAGAGAGGGTGAACATGAAAACCATCCTTTCAGCTACATGTGTTAATTTTGGTAGATTACAGTATTTCTTTCTTATTTTTCACTTCTCTTTCTCTCCTTTTTTTCCTGTAACTGTGCTGGTTTTATTTTGGTCTTTTGTTCACACCCTTCTCTGCATTTTATTTTTCTTTCTGTTGTGGTTCATTCCATTTTTTTTTTCAATCTTACCTTTTGGTTTTCCTTTCTCCCCATACTTTTTGGGTAAAACCCATGGCATGTGTCTGTCTTTTTGTTTTGTTTTGTTTATTTCTTTCCTTCCCCCTTTTCTTTTCCTTTCTCCCAACTTTTTCCTTTTCACAGCATTGGAACACGGGAGGTAGTCACCCAGAAGAACTTGAGCGGCCTGGTGCCCATCCGTGACTTAAGGCTAGACCCCAGCCTCCTTTGCTCTATTCCTTTATTAGCTCTGAGCCCCAATTTACTGATTGTGTGGCTCTTCCTGAGCATAGCATACCTGGTGACCAAATTACGCTGCAAATAAATATTATTACGAAAATTAATTAGTCACAAGACAGACAAAAGTGCCCGAATATGTCCAGCCACCGTGTACCAAACTGGACAGAAGGAAGGTGTCAAAGCGAGGTCTGCCAAGAAATATCTCATGCCTTACAGTTTGATGTTCTGTTCTTCTGAACTGTAAATACCTGCCAAATTCTTTGATCGAGAGGACTTGTTCATTTTGATTGTGTAGTGTCTTCAGTGCTTGTAACATGTTCTTCTGGTGCCTGTGACTGCATTATTTAGCTGGCCTGGAATTACTTGTACCAAATATCCGACCTTCTGATGTATAACTATTTATTACCTGTACATCTTGTGTGCCCTGCTCCAAGAGAAAGGGATGCTGTCTGAAAAGAGTTTGTATATTTGATACTATCCCTCAAGTGTATCGCTAACCTTCCTTGCCTTTTTAAGAAATCAACAAGAAAAAGATGCTTTATCGGTTTATCTAGATACCCCTGTTTATTAGGACTGGGCTTCCTATTTTCCTTTCAAAGCGTAGTCCTGAGATTGCAATAGCAAACAGTTTGTAGAATCATACTTCCTCGCTTCCAGTTATTCCCACTTGGTGACGGCACAGCTGTGGATACAGGAGCACATCCACCAAGTCCAGCACACAGACTTTACATCTTGCATGTGACTTCAGGGTTGCTTTTAATATACACAGTAGCAAGAGTTACATACTTTTTCTTGAAATAATTTTTTTAATTTAAAAACTGTATATTTTATTCCAGATGAAGTAATAAGGTTAATAATGAACAAAAAAATCAAAGAAAATGTTTTTAAAAAATGAAGCTTAAATTTTGGCAGTTGTGAGAGAGCTGTGAAAATGGGAGATAACTGTGGGTTTGCGCGTGTCACTCCTAATGTTAACATTGGCACTGCCCGTAAAGTAGGAGGGCTAGTCGCCCTGACACTCCTACATGGCAGAGAGTAATTGTTCTTCATAAAAATAACCAAGTAACCTAGGGAAGGTTCCACTCACCTTGTGTAAGAAATTATGAGTTTCTTCTTCATCTTCCGGTTCCTATCAGGTCTGCTTTTGATTGCCAGTTCGATGAAGGGGATTGCTTTTCACGAGTGTGGTGGGAAACCCCGAGTGACTTAGAAAAGCTGGAGTGTCCAGTATCTTGACATTGTCACGCCCACAAACCCACCCACCATAGCTCTAGCCTCTGTGTTTTCTCCGTGAGATGTCCTGACTATCCCTGGAGGACTGTCTCCGCTCTGGCTTCCTCTCAGAGAGTGAGGTAGAGGGACAGCAAAGCAGTGAGCAGTGAGCACCGCAGGCGTCTTCCCACAGAAGCAGGTCTAGTTGGCTCTCCTAGTGTCAACAGGGTGACAGCTCTGTGGCATCTCCCAGTTTAGCGCTTTAGCCATTGCCAGCCGACAATCACCAGACAGACCTGTCCAGTCAGTGACTCTTTGAAAGGAATGTTTGCTAGCTACCCTTTCCCTTCAAAGCATGTGCTTCAAGCCCTTAAGCTCATTTTGTTTGCTCCATTTGAGTAGGGGAAAGAGAGTCCATAGTCTCCTTCCATCCCCATCTCACGGCCTCCATTCCTTGCTCTAGGTTGATAATAGGAGGTGACTCAGGAATGCACGATTCCCAGGGTTCAGAGATCGTAGACAGATGAGGGCATCCCTAGAGGTAGCTGCAGAGATAGCATCCTCTGTCTCCTATGGCCCAAGATGCCCCTAGCTCTTTGCACAGACTCTTCTCAGGACCATTGTACAGTAAGGGGAAGTAGTGGCTGGTTAGAGAAATCCCCTCCCTACACACCCAGGCAGGGAGGAGAACTGTTAGAACATTATGGCCTGGTTTGGTACCAGCCTCCCTCCTGTCCTATAAAGCCTTTGCTGTTGGTTGGGTCAGGAAGGTTCCTTGTTTCCCTCTTCCAGGGTGAGTGGACTGCAGTACACCTGCAGGCACAAAAGGCTGGCTCTGGGAGTCAACCCACGGGGGATTTGAGATTTACATTTGCTTTTTTCTTCTATTGGGGATGTGGGGAGACCAACCTTCAGTATGCTTATCCTTTATACTGGATTTGAATGTCTTTAAGGCCTTTTGCTTTGCTCATGAAGTCAAGCCAAACGTGCATTCAGAATCCTGTCTACAGCAAGAAATGAGGAGAAAAGAGTAAGGCCATAACTTGAGCTAGGCCGCTGTCAGTGTTGGGCAGCAGTGTCTGGGCTCCCTCTGAGTGATCCTGAGCTGTGGCATAGAGACTGCTCAGTCTGCATCTTCTGCAGCAGCCACTTCTGAAGTAGAGAACCATTGTCAGGAATTCTTGCTGAGTGGCCTTACAGAATGGCTGTGCACGTTCTACAAGCTAGGCTGGCGGCCACTGCTTCCTCCTGTACTCCCCAGACAGAGGTGCTAGAACAGGGGCATGGTCCTTCCACAAAGCCACTCCCCGAGTCTGCTGTGGCATGGCCTAGACAGGGGCCCTCAGATGAATTATAAAGTGGAAGAGATCTTAGGATTGTCCTTTTAGAGTTTCCAAACTTCCAAAGTTGACATCCGTAATATGAAGCAAAGCTCAAGATAATAAAAAAAGAACCAGGAGGTGTACAATAACTAAATCTCTCTTGTTAAAATCGGTCCCAAACTTCGTCATGTGCTGCTGCCTCCTAGAGACAGACACTGCTGCATTGTGGTCAATGAAGTGTTGTGCTTCAGGCTGTCATGCTGGACTCTGCAGCAGGACACACTTCCCCCCCTGCAGACCTTGTCCCAAGCCTTCAAGCCAGAGCAGACACATGCAGACCATGCTAACAGTGGCAGCATGCTGAGCAGGCATATCAGCCTGGATAGAAACATGTAGAAGAAACAGTTTGATTTTAAAACCAGGTCACCTAAATCCAGTATTAGTTCCTTTCACAGGTAAAGACAGGGACTGTCAACGTTTTAAGTTCTTCTTTGGCGTTTACAGGCTAGGTGGGTTTGAGAACCTTCTGTAAATGCTGTAAATGGAGAAGCCATATGTGAAGTAGTCTGTCAGTAAAGGGGCCTCCAAAGACCACAGCAGGTTCACTGTGCACAGGAACCTATAGCTTCTTAGCTTCTGCTTTAAATAGATTTCTATTTTTATCTGATTACTGAATGTTCAGCAGATGCTGTCTGTCATTTGCTCTGGGTGACCCAGGGTTTGGTTCAGGTGACATATCCAGCCTAAGGCTTGAGGCACAAGTGGCGGTGTCAGTCAACAGCAAGCGGGCGGATGCTTCTCCAGACCACCTGGGCTTATCTCTTTTGAATAAATATGACTGTCTCACCAAAACCTACTTGACATGTTCTTAATAAGGGGACTGTCACTTTCATTTTGAAAGGCTTGAGATGCTATTTTTTAAATGTGTGTCCTGTGTTCTTCATAGAATTTGAAAGACTTTTTTAAAATCACTATTTTCTTGGTAACTGCAAGTTTTACATCTCAGAAGGGGGATTTTTTTTACTGAACTTGACCACTACTTGATTTTATTGCTACTCTTTAAATATTATAAAGATAGCAAGTTTTACTGTATCGTGGAAAGGAGTTTATATTAAGAATCATTTTTGGCTGTTAATTTACGCCATTCCAGAGCATTGCTTAGAGAATCCCTTGAGGTTCGCTCTGAGGCCCTGACTCTTTATCCTCTGGGCACCATTTGTCTTGCCCCTGGGTTGCAAGGACATCCCTCCATCAGTGTGGCTGGGATTCGAACTAGTAGTGAATTCTGTAAGGGAAGAGCTCCTGTGGGCTCACACTGGGCTCAGTAGTGCCTGTACAAGAAGTGGCCGCAATGAAAGCAGCCCACTTAGAGAAGGTGGTCAGTGACCACCAGGAGAGAAATGGAGACTTCACAGCCGTCAGCCTGGTAGCCGTGAGGACGTGTTCTGCAGCCAGCGCATGGGCCTGCACGGGCGGGCACTTTGTACTCGCACAGCTGCCCCTGGGGGAGACAGATAGCAGAGCAGCCTCCTCTGCCAGATGTTTTTTACTACCTGTTGAACTCTGCAAGGAAAATCGGCATTTGGGGTTTGATGTGTGACAGATTTTGCTACCATACAAAAGGTACCGTGTTCCAGAAGCTATGGTAAGAGTAAAATATCCCTATTCATCCAGTTTGCTGTCCAAAAACCTGCGAACCACAAGTTATGATAGAACCCCAGATAACCAAACTTAAGATACACACAAAATCATGTATTTTAAAATAATTGTGTTTGCTTGGACACAACACCGCTCTGGACCTGCCAGCCCATGGCCGCATCCAGCATGTACCCATCTCTGTGCTTTGCCCTGCTTTGTCCAGAACCATCTGTGTGTGCATCTGTTGTGAAGCAGTCTAGCACCCATTGAGTTAATCTTTTTTTTTAATGCTATGAAAATAATAAGTTCATTTCATCTTAGTTTAAGTCTTTTATTTTTTCCTTTTTTACTGCTGTCATTTCTTGTGCTTGTTTTTTCCCCAGTGAGGGTTGTCGAAGAGAAAATACAATGAAGAATGTTGGAAGTCGCAAATATGCATTTAACTCCCTGCAGCTGAAGGCCTTCCCCAAGCATTACAGGCCTCCAGAAGGGACTTACGGAAAAGTTGAGACATGAACACACGGTTTCCTCTAATTAGCTGTTACGTAATCAATGTGGGTACCCTCTAGTGTCACATATGATTCTTCAAGAAGACCAGAAGGATTCGCTTTTATTTTTGTGTTTTTAAATCTACTTCACTAAAGAGTCTATGGAGCATGATTTTGTGTTGGAATCTGTAGGGGTCATGTGTGGCTCAGTAGCGTGGATAGTGATGGCTGCCCTTAACCATAGCTTTCAGCTGTAACTATACAGTTAATGTCATAGTTCCTAGAAGAAGCCAGCTTGGTTTGTCTAAAATTCCAGGAGACTTTTTCAAATACCCACTTATATACTGCTCACCCAACGTATTTTTCTATTCAGTAACTCACAAGTGAGCATTGACTTAAGATCTATTCTCAAAAGGTACCTGCCCCATTAAACCTCAGGTCCCAGGAAGAGGATAGGCTTGAGCTCAGCTTGGGGGAAAAGAAGTCACACCTTCATGCTATGAGAAGCTGCTCTAGTGCCTCTCAAAGGCCACACCCCTCTCTCGGATCCAAAGTGGAAGGGGAGCTTGACCAGTCACACCAGGAGCCCAAGCCCTGGGGCTACACTGCTTCCTACCCCTTCAATCATAGAAGAAGGTCTGCTTGAGATCTGCACCAGCTGTGAGGTCCTCAGACCCTGCCTCTTCATAAGCTCCATGATTATTAGGTCCACACCCACAGGACATATCTCCCGGTCTCTGGCAATCAGGACCTTCGATGTGGCTTTTCAGGTGTCTGAGAGACAACTCTCCAATCGGGGATTTAGGGCCATAAAGACAGTAGATACTTAAATATTTTCAGAAGAGATGTTCTTCTGGGAGCTTTCTAACAATCTTTTAGAAGACCACAAATCATGTTCGAATGTCTAAAAAACTGTCTTAGTTTTTGGTTTGCAATAATTGTTACTGTTCTCCTTCTGTTACACGACTATTGGGAAACAGTTAAAACTGCCCCTACATTGAGAGCCTAAGAGAGGTTTGTGAGACAAGAAAGTTAGGGATTTCATAGACGATTTAGTCTGGTCATCTTTTACAAGGTGATGATGAGTCTTATCTGCACATAGCAGATTTTTTTTTCCTTAGAATTTATATGTTTTATAAATTCTGTTTATCATAATTCTGTTTACATGTTATTTAAAAGGCTGTATAAAGAACTGTATGGAGTATATCCATGATGCTGATGCTCACAATTTGTGAACACCATGGGAATTCTTATCGAAGTCTAGCTAGTTTTCTTTTGGCTCCTTTAGAAACATGTAACAAACTTGAACCTGGGACACTGAGGCACAGACAGGACCAGACCTTTAACAAGAGTCAGGAAGGGTACAGGCATCCCTTTCTACCAGTGTGCAGACAGCCCCCGACTCCTGGTGCTCCACTCTCAGGGCATGCGTGGCACTGTGGAAGGTGAGTGGCAGGGAAGCTCTCACTACCCAGCCCTCCACACAGGGCTGCTCTGCTGCTATCAGATTCCCAGGAAGCCTCAGTCCCTGATCATAGGCCACTGGGGCTTAGTGTGGCTGGCTAAGCCTTTGACCTTTCTCGGTCCATTTACTCTAAGTTTTTAGTTTCTTTTTTTTTTCTCATTTGACATCACTGCCTTTTTAAAATATTTCGTTGGACTTTAAAATCAAATGTTTCTGTGTTCTCCAGCTTTTCTTTCTGTCCACACTTACAAAGGGAACAGAGCGACAGCTGACTCCCTGTCAGCGGCTTTGCATGGGGATTACTTTCTCTGTTTTTGTTTTATAATATGAGTCACTGTAAAACTCTAAGACCTGGTTAATCACGGAAAGGACTGTGGCTTCAGTGTTTTCTCTGAAGGCATTGTGACTGGCTTCCAGTGCATCACTCATGTCCCAGGCTTGTTGGAAGGGGCACCATGCACAGCACTGGCTCAGGCAGCTCCTGGCTGCCCCAGGAGGCTGAATTGTTCACTGTAGGTAGGAAATGGTTTTACCGGTTTCCACAAAGTGACGTTCTGTCCACCGTCTGCCCCTACTTAAAAAGGAATGTGCAGTGTCTGGACAGCTGGGAATGCCGTGTGGATCCTGTCAGCTCCTGCAGCACAGCTGCCTTTGCTTTCCTTTAAAGATGTAAAAATATTGTAGAATACTGTTTTATCCCCACATACTTGTAGTTGCCACACTTAGTGCATTTAAATACTTTTATTTATTTGTTTGGGACAGTATTAATATATATGAACATATAGTTACTGTTTTATATATTCCTAGCTCATTTAAAGCCATGTATGCTGTAAATGTGCTTGTCTTAAGAATGGTAAATAATAAAACTCACAAGAACATCACACTTGGTCTCCCTCGATTCTTTCTCCTACACTGGAAGGAAGTCCACAGCCAGCACCCATGCATTTTACCACTGGGCTTGGCTGCCAGGGTTCATAGCTTGTAAGTGGGGAAGACTAAGGTCTTTTAAAGCATGTTTTTACTTAATTCAAACTAGGATGCGTGGTTAGGAACAGGGACATTGGCAGGCAGCACCAGACCCCAATCAAGGTTCTGTCTCTCACTGGTCAGTGACTTGGGGCAAGTTGCGGGATCTCTCCAAGACCGTTTTGTGTGTGTCAGCTGTGGACAACAGCAGTCGGTCCCTCAGAAGGTGACTGTGAGGACCTTGGTCTCATGTGTTCATATGTGTTGTCTCCTTTCCCTGAACAACCCAGCCTCTCCCCGTCTGTGGACGCCGCCATGGTGTGACTTGCGTAGAAGCATCTGTTCAGAGCTGTGGTGTCACCAGCATCATGGCGTTAGTCCGCATCTACTTCAAGGACCGTGTGTCCAGTAACTTCCCTTGGCGATTGCTAGCCATGGAAATGAATCACAAACAACATGAATGTGTTTGGCTCTGGAAATCTACTGTTGCCACAGCCAGTGCTTTCCCACTCTTCTCGAAACACGAGAATGGAGCCTTGCTTCAGTTCCTGTTCTTTGAGCCTCTGCAGATATCAAAAGTCTGCTTTACTGATGTGTGTGATTTCGTGAAGTCTCTAACAATCCTTAATAAGCATTCTGTTAACGCCTGTTATAGGTGGAAGCTATTAAAGCTGCTGGTTAGCTGGGTTTTGGCTTCATCTATGTTAGGGCTACATAAGTCTTAAATGTTTTTGTAATTAAATTTTTTTTTTAAGATTTATTTATTACGTATACAATGTGCCTCCTGCATGTACACCTCCATGCCAGAAGAGGGCACCAGATATTACAGATTGTTGTGAGCCATCATGTGGTTGCTAGGAATTGAACTCAGGACCTCTGGAAGAGCAGCCAGTGCTCTTAACCTCTGAGCCATCTCTCCAGCCCTGTAATTAAATGTTTTGTTCCATTTGGTGTTTTGGCTTTTCCACCAAGCATGACTGTGCCTCTGGTGTTGGAAGACTGGACTCGGGTAGCAGTAGCTCCTTCTTGGTATACAGTGCTGTTCAACACTGTTGGTGCTTTCTGCCATGGCTCTCCTGCTCCAGGGTGTGTTGTTGTTGTTGTTCAGTGCCCTCTTGTTCTTATTTGCAGTGTTTTAGCATTTCGTTTTTGTGTGTGTGTATGTATGTTTCTCATGGGTGTGTGCCCACATGTGGCTGTGTGAATGGGTGTGGAGGCCAGGCATTGGTGTCAGATGTCTTCCTCTCTCATTCTTCATTTTTTGAAGCAGGGTCTTGCTGAATCCAGAGCTTGCCAATTCCAGATAACGAGACTTCGTTATCCAGCCTGCCCACAAATGCTTCTGGTACTGGAATCACAGGTAGCCGGCCTCCAGTCTGTACACTTACACACGTTACCCACTAAGCCATCTCACTGCCCCTTTACTTCGTTCTGACGTCTCGGTCAGCTCATCGGGAGTTACTCTGGAATTAAGGCCCATGCTGTATGAAGAGTTGACTAGGTTTGAGTGACTCCCTTCTCTCAACCAACCCTAATTTTGCTTCTTGAGAAATGGTTCAATTAGTCCAGTTCTTGTCATGAGAGCGTGGGACCCTGGGTTCAGATCCCCAGCACGTATGTGGTGGGATGGCCACACTGTCCTTCTCACGGGGAAGGTCATTACAGTTTCTACACACCATGTAGATTAGCTCCCTCAGGCAGAGGGGAGGGAAGACACTTCCTCTGTAAAATCCACCACAGTTGGAGAGTTCAGTATCCCCAGCCTCATCAGCTCCTCTCCGCCAAGTTGCAGGGTCCCATTCTTTGCCAGCCTGTACCCTCACTTTAAATGATACCCTTTGAGCAGGAAAACTTGCATTGTAAGTCAGCCAGTGCATGATGAGAACTGGACTTTGTTTTGGCAACTCAGCTCTATGGACCACAGAAAGAAGGGAATGTGTGTGTGTATGTGTGTGTGTCCATCCATAACTTCAGCTACATGAACCACATAAAGTGTGTGTGTGTGTGTCCATCCATAAAAGGATTTGTTGACTTATACAATTGTTGTAGGAGGCCACTTGTTTGTTCCCAGCTGCTCAGCCCCCAAACCTCTATTCTGCTCTGTGCAGGCCCAAGACAGGTTTTTTTTTCTTTTATTAACCAGTTGTTCTACAGCATACAGAGGCGAATACCACATCATACAGTTGACTTATACTTGTGGCTGCTTACATACTGGAGAGGCTGAGATCCTGTTAGCAGAAGAAGCAAAAAAGCTGGAAGCCTTAGAACAAGAGAACCAATAATACAGTCTGAGGCTGAAGACCTGGGAACTCCTTGGACCGTCGCTGGTCTGAGTGCATGCTGAAAGACTGAAGTATCTTGAGTCTGATTTCCACAGGCAACAGCAGCAGGAACAGAGACTTGCTTAGAGCCTGAAGTACTGGCTGGCTTTCTCTTTCTCTACTCCCATTCTATCCG